ACAAATATTGCTGCATGTTAACACTGTCATTGCTGATGTTAGTATTTAGCTCAATGCCTGTTGTGCCTAGGTACAGAGCAGCTAGCATGGCTGAAGACTCACAGTTTTGTTTCTATTTTGTGCATAACTTAGTACTGTGTGTTGATAAGAGAAGCCACCTCAAACAACATTGCCGTGTTTCTTAGCAAAAACAAAACAAAACACAAAACATTTCAAATGACTTCCAAACTTGCAAGCGGAACATTGCCAACAGGGCTTGAAGGCAGCACACACACCCTTTTAACAGGCAAAGCTTTTTAGGAACTACCTAACTCAGCATAAACAGATGTATGGAGTTGCTGACAGAGAGTCAGAGGGACAAATGGAGGCAGGAAGACCCAATGATAAGCTGATGAAAGAAATGGAAAAACACAGAAGGAGTGTGGACAGATAGATCATCATCCATCAGGCAAATCAGACTAGGACCAGGAACTGCTAAGCTATCCCATAGCTCCCAGCAGGTCAAAGGGTACCGTCTGGCCTACATTTGAGCACAGCCAGGGATGTAACAGAGACATCAGTCATATCCTCACACCATAGAGGCTGCAGTCTAGAAGAGCACATGTGGGATATGGTTCTGTTTTATCACTTTACTCCAAGGAGAGGAGAGCGGCAGATCTAAAGGACATAGGAAGTTAGATAAGTGGAAAGCAGCAAGGACTATAGAAGATAAAGAGCACAGCATTGGCAAGAAAAGGCAAGCGCATAACAGCAAAGGCCTGCAAGGGAATGAGAGCAGATGATAAAATGGAAAAATGGAAGAAATTTATTTTAGAAATAATATAATAAAGCTGGTGTTCTAGATAATCCCTCCAACAATAGGATTTAACACACTTCCCTCACTTCCTCCTCATCCAGTTGCAGAGGGGAAACAGTGACTTTAGCAGCTTCATAGTTGTAATGTTTACAAATTAACACGTTTGACACACTGAGCTTTCAGCCACCTTTTCACCTCTTTCATGAAATGCATCGTTAAACTTAACTTTAAAAAATCCTGTGCTGGCACACCCAGCATTAAACTTTGTTAAACTTCTTTTCCGGAGCTTTTGCATGAGATCAAAGGTTACTGCTTCCATCAGGGGAGGTCCTGGCACTTTCTTTTTAGATATGGTTCCCTCACACACAGACGTTACCCATGATCCCTACTGTTAATATGATCATGTGTGCAGATAGGTGCTGGGATACTGCTGTGATGGAGCGGGGCGGAGGGGGGCAGAGGCCAGCAGCAGGGTAATTACGAACACATTTCTCCCAAATGTGTTCCATGCCGTCATGTGTTAGCACAACTCTGCTGAAAGCAAAATGTAAATCTTGAGATGCACTTTACATAGCCAGCACAAACCAGACTGTCAAAAATATTGACGGGTCAGGGTGTCAACCATATGTATTCAGTAAACGCCCACTTTCCATTAGCAAACACAGAAAAATTCAGGCTTTGCAACCAGCTCGGCTGTGGGGCTCGGCCACAAGCTCCATGATATTTCAGAGTGTTAAAAGGTTATAACAGAGGCCAGAAAAAAAAGCACACACTAATGCGGCAAACATATTAGATGACCTGTAAAAGCCAAAACCAACAGTGGAAATACTTGCCATTGCATATTTAATGACCAGCTCAAACTACAGCATCACTTTTTCAGGTTTGTTCAGATTCAAGTGCTGAATGTCATTTTTTGCTGTCATTGTTGCAGATTATTTTCTCAGTTAATTGTTGGGTGTAAAAAATGTAAATTGTAAAGTCCAATGAAACGTATTCAGATTCAGACAACAATTTCAGTTTAGTATCACACCAGACAAAATAAAGCAGAGGAGGCTGCGTTTAGCATTTTGTTGCTTGAACAATTACTTGAATTATTATTATTATAGATCAAATAGTTCATTTTTCAATCAATTGACTGATTAATTGACTAATCATTTCAGTTCTAAACATTTTGACAGACCTGTGAAACATTAATTTGGTCTGAAGGAAGAGGCAAGAAACTTGAATCCTAAACCCTACAAACAACATGATAATGTGTCTAGTTGGCCTTTTTTATTGTGTAGTGCATTCCTTTGTATTTCAAAACAAAGAAAACACTTCTCAGATCACAGCAGACCAAGAACATTTACAAAACAAAAGAATGAGACTTTAGAGTAAGGCAGAAAAGGATTCAGGGTTCAGAAGACGAAAACAACAAGAGCGTGCACAGAGGTGAGAGGAACAAGCATCTCCTCAACTTACACAGATTTAACTTCAACTCTAGCCTTCTCGTATCTTTATCTACATCTCTGAGGGCCTCGGGGACCTCTGAAGTGGAGCCAGAACCCCATCAAACTAAGACCAGAGGTGATGTCATCTTCATTGGTTAAGGCTGTCCTCTGATAAAACAGCTGGCCCAAAGCCCCATTACAGCAGTTTTCTGCTACACAGAGCTGCATGTAAAGTGTTGGCTGAATAAAGACACAAGGATAAAGGGACAAACGCTCATACAGGATTCTGTTACCAATCAAAATTGTCCACGCTTAAAGGAATGGTTCAACATTTTGGAAAATATCCTTATTCGGTTTCTGTGTTAGATGAGAAGACTAATACAATTCTGGTGTCTGTACAGTAATAATTAAGCTGTCGCCCACCGCCAGTTAGCTTAGCTTAGCACAAACAGTGGAAACAGAGGGGAAAAGCTAGCCTGGCTCGGTCCAAAGGCAACAAAATCTACCAAACAACACATCTGAAGCTCGCTAATTAACACGGAATACCTTGGTAATTTAATCCCAAACAAAAACCGAAGCATAAAGTTTCATAACAGAAAAATGTCTGTATTTATATAATTGCTATCCAAAAATGAAAGCCATGAGGGCAATATATCTTGAAAATGGCCAGCCTATAAGATCTTTACACTATTTAATACAAAGCTTTTCTAGAAGAACTAATGAAAACATTTGTTTTAAAATGTTCTCCTATGGTATTATTTTGAAGAACAATCATTATTTCCAATTCCAGTTCCTGATATAAATTTAAACTAACTGAAATCCCCGACTATTGCACAGAGGTTAATCTACTTGAGGAGAAGCAGTCTTCAGTCAGAGCTGTAGCCTGATCTTAGCACGGTCACGTATGTTACAAAGACCTGGAGGAGTGTCACGCTCATTAATCTCTGTGGGGCCACTTTCCCACAGAACAGGCTCTCTGCTCTGCTGCCGTCTGTGCAGCTTGTAGCAGCTGGAGCCCTGTGGGACAGAAAAACACTCCTCATTATCCTTCACTTCTCTCGTCTCTTCTCTTGCTACATAGCTGTTCCTCCGCTGCCAATTCTAACACCTTGTTGTTTCTTGTGCAGTCGTCCTAACTTTCTCCCCTCAGTGTCCTCTCTTTGTCTGACTCCGACACGCTGACCCCAGCCAGCTCTCCCTCCACACCTCAGTGTGAAGCAGACTGTCAGTGACATCAGCCTCTGTCTTTAAGGTCTCCTCTCTGAGTCAAACTCTGTCTCTCCATATGGAGGCAATTTCCCCCCTTGTTCTATAGCCATTAGAACTTGCAAATACATTTCCGCAAACGTTAAATAAACAGCCAGATTACTTCTTCACACTCCTGCAACCACTTTGGTCTCAAGTGAACCATAATCTCTGGCAGTACAGACTGAGCGGATATGGCTATGTGTTAATCTTAGTGTGGAATAATATCCACGGCCGGGTAAATAATGGTTTCCAAAGGCTTTGTAATAATGTCTATGTTTATATATCTGTGTTTAGTATTACTGTGTGTTTTCTTAACTCGTGGCAAATCCTGCCCATCCAAATGCAACAATGAATAATTCTGCAAAATGGAACAAGGTGTGGTAATTATGACCAATAAGCAAAACTTGCTCATTGAGGTAACTGTTAATCTTGGACAAATGTGGACAGACCATGTCAGTGTTTTTCAATTACATACAAAATTGCTGTATTGGCCAGCCCAAAAAATATCTACCAAGTTGCTGCTGGGTGTACTAAATAATTTTAATAGAAAGTTGTTAAAATAACTCTATCTCACCCAATGCTGCCTTTGCCAATGCACATTTTAAGCACACTTTTACAGGCATCTGCAATGTTTAAATTACAATATGTGAAAACATGTTTGTCACTGTGGTTGTGAGCAGTGGACACACACACACACACACACACATATATATATATACACAGCGTTAAGGAGGCCAACATTAGACCTCCATCCACCCTCCTGCCTGGGTTCTTCAGGATGCCTGTGGTGGCTCGCCCATGGGTGTAAATTTTAGTCGTTACTGGGCTTAAAGTCCGCGGTCTGTGGTATCCAGAAGCAGTGCTGCCCCTCACCGAGACCAAGACCACCTCTCACTTTACAAGCTGCTCTGCTGGACGTTCCTCTGAGGATATTGGGAGAGACAGGCAAGACTGCCTCTCTGCTGTCTGCAATTAACAGAGCAGTATGGGTGTGTGTGAAGTGCACATGCTCACACACACACACACACACACACACACACACACACACACACACACACACACACACACACACACACACACGTACAATGAAAGCAAGATACAGAGAGAGACAGAGATTTTAATCCTCCTTCCAGGCACAGGACCATCTTGAATGTAGGGCTGTATAAGCAAAGGTACAAAACCACAGAGCACAAGATCTATTTCGACTGTGACTGTTAACTGCAGTCTGTGTTCCCAAAAGTATCCAAAAACAGGCTTTCAATCTTGATTCAAAACAACTTAACAATCATATCAATAGGCCAACTCCTGCACAGAAGGACAGTTAGCAAGCTACCCAACTACACACCACCAAACATTTAAAAAAAGGCACTGATGTGGGTAAAGCTGCCTGGTGCTGCTAAAAAGACACAGATGCCTAAGAAAAACACATGGCTCTTTATTTCAGTCCCCAAGAGACTCTGACCACACTCCTATTAGAGAAAGTTGCATCATGTGAAAGAAGAAAAAAAAGAAGCTAAGAAACTCACCTTCACGACACTCTTCTCCCACAAACCCTGGGCAGCATCTCCACTCCAGTGTGGTAACCTGCTTGTAGGTAACCTTGAAGGACGGCCTGATCAGGGTCCTGTAGCTGTAGAAAGCAGCCATGGACACTGATTTAAGGGACATGTGGTGTAGCTACACACAGAAACACACACATACCGTACATACAGTACAAACACACAGACATGATCAAACTGCCAAGTGTTATTGTCTGATTCTTTCTTGTTTTTTCAGTATTTTGGGACCTTTTTTTGACAGTATAACGAGGACAGAAATGAGAGAAGAAAATGGTTGACCAGATTTGAATTGGGAATGTTAATTATATGTACTTTACATAATATGTCCATTTTATGCAGCATTATCCACTTATAATAGTTAGGATTCAGTCCCTTCTTTTCACTTTCAGTTGATAATACTTGCATTATTGGAATATTTTTATGCAGTACAGTATATTTAGAGTGTTGTCCTATTAATAGTTTTACTTTTGTAAAAGGTGCCAGTATCAACACTTTTAAGTGTTAAAATAATGCAGGACAGATGCCCCATGGCCCCCAAATCACTAAATCTACCCCGGCCACCATACAGGATGATTCTGAACAGAAAACCAGTATCATTATCACAGACAACTGAAAGAGGTCACAAGAGAAGAGGACTTGGCTGAAAAGGGGGCAGCTGTGAGGACTCTGAAAGTACCTGATGACTTTCGAGCAGGGTCCGGGCCATCGACAGCCCTGAAACACTCTCTGAACTGTGGTTTCTGTCCCATTGTGCACCTGACAGGACACTGTTCTGGAAACAGTATACTGACACCAGTTCCTGAAATACAAATGAAATAGATTTCACACTTTAAAAATTTGTATGAGAGAAGTCATACACAATCAATAGCCCAATGGAGTCGAACTAATATGTAATGTGCAAATGTGAAAACGTGGGAAAATAACAAACTGAAACACTAACACTAGGATTACATTTAACATGTGCCGTAAAAAGGCGCCATTCCAGTGCGCACATGTGCTCACCTGAGTTGGGTACGGGACCCGGTATCTGGCGGTCCAGTGTTGCCGCTCTGTTCCGATTTGATGCGCTGCCGTTGCACAGTGATGCCTGGAAAGCGATAAACAAACCCTGTTCCCAGCAAAGGACAGACTAAACTCATGCACATGCAAAACGCGTAGAGGAAAGATAAAGCTATCATGGTCTCCTTTTGACGTATCCCTGGGAGAGATATCCGCAGATTCCGAGGATTTTCAAGTAAATCCTGAAGTTACAAATCCCTCTTTGGCAGATCTATGGTGTCTGAAGTGGAACGGGGAAAGAAAGCCTAAGCAAACCCCAGTGAAACCATTAATGAGTTGGTCATGTCGTGTTCGAGAAACAAACTGGCCCTCTCAAGAGTCTAAAATGAATGACACACGGCCTCTTCCTATAGAATAATGCGGTTTTCTGACGTTTGACATCGTGCCGACGACTGAGGAGTCAAATATCTAGTGTGCGTAAAAAGCGGCAGAGTGTGAGTGCTGGAGACTGAGTGCGTAAAAGCGCATCTGGTCCCGATCGAGAAACCTTCAGTTTTCATATGTTTTGATGCGAATGGCCAAAAGTGAACTCTATCGCATTGTCTTTGTCTCTATTCTGACGATATAATGAGCAATAGCCTACCCGATAGCCCATCATTTCAGCCTACATAAATGAACAAACACGGATATGAGCAATGACATTATGATCTTACAGTAATCTGATGGAATGATTTGGAATAAATGCAGTCGTTTTCAAAACTATTTTTCCTTTTGGATGCTAACAATTGGGAATCTTTTGCCAACGTATCTACAGATTTAGTACCCTAAATTATATAATAATAGCTGCACATTTAATGCTTTTAAAGAAACTTTGATGACTCAAAACTGAACCCAGGGTTTTTTTTATATCTAAATCTATATATAATCTATAAACCTCTGATGAAGAAGAAAACTGAGTAAAAGGGTAAGTCCAGTGATATTTATGATGAAATTATGATTAGGCTATAATTTTGATTGACTATCTCATAACTTCGACTGAAGTCAAAAATGTGACTAAATATCTCATGAAGTATGTAGTAAGCCTGATTTTTTTTGTTTTAACTTTGGAAGTAAAAATATGGATTTATTACATCATCATTTTGAATAATTAGCATAAATCAGACTTTTTGATTGATTATCTCACAGTTTTGACTTTGGAAGTAAAAATATGGATTTACTACCTCATACCTTTTTTTTTATAGTGAGACATATTTAGGCTATTGTTTGATTACCTCAGTTTTGACATTGAAAGAAAAATGTGGCTGTGTTACCTCCTAATTTTGAACCAGAAAGTTATACTTTTGACTGTAATACTTTTGGATTAACATCTTATGATTGATTTAGTAAGCCAAGTTTTTACTTATTAGGCTATCTCATAGTTTTTACAGTTTTAAAAGTCAAAAATTTGGCCTATCTTACACTCCTGACGTATATTTATTTTTTGTTGAGAAATGGAGAGAAACAAAAGGGTAAAACTAGTATTTTTCTGGTTTGGTTATGGGGACCAACTGGCTGGTCCCAGTGGCACCAGTGAGCAGAAATGTTGCGGTCGGCAGCGCCCCCTGCTGACCTTTTCAGACCGCATCCAGGCTGTAGAGTAGAGGGAAGTAGACGTGTCCCGCATGAGCGCAGGCGGCAGCATCGGTGGCAACATGGGAGGAAAAGCAGACGTGGAAATGGCAGAAAACCCATTTGAACCTTACATTGAATCTCTGCGGCAGCAGCTGGAAGACCAAGACCCCCTTTTTCTGATCGGAATTATCGTCGCTTTGGCAGTCGTTGTCATCACATGTGGTGAGAAGTTACCGTTAGTGCTCAATTTAGCATGCTAGCATTAGCTTACCAGGCTAGGCCTACTGTTTAGCTTAGCATAGTTGGCTACAAAGTGTCGGATTGTGGGAAAGTGGGTTGTCAGCAAGACATTCAGCGTTGACATGTAAGCTCTGTTTATAAATAATAGAAGGTTTAAAGCCATTAGCGTCCTAGTTAGCTTGCTAGTTCAGCTAACTGCTAACAGCTGTCAGTTGCACAGCTTATTATTAGCATTTCCCACGGAAGTGATTCAAATTTGTTGGGTATCTTTTTAGTTGGCGGACAACAGGGTGTTTGAATCTCCCCCTGCTTTCTCTTTTCAGTGTTTCTGAAGTACTTCCTCTCTAGTAAAACCGTAAGGAGCGCCGTGCTGCTGGTCGGACTGTGTGACTCTGGGAAAACCCTTCTTTTCAGCCGGGTGAGTTGGTTCTCTTCGCCACGTTGTCTGACACGGGATGCTCAGGTGATGTACTGTTAATCTGCTTTGTGTGTTTCATGCTTTTGCAGCTGTTGTCAGGAAAGTTCAAGCGGACGCAGACTTCCATCACTGACAGCAGTGCGCCATACAAAGCCAAAAACGACAAGGTAAGTTTTCGCCAGGTGTCATCATCAGTTAATGATGAGCATGGTTTATAGCTGTCTCCTCTCCCTGTTGTATTCAGGGCAGCACCTGGACTTTAATAGACCTGCCGGGACATGACAGTCTTCGCCCTCAGTACCTGGAGAAGTTTAAATCTGCAGCCAGGTGAGAACAGAACCACCTGCCTGAATAACCGATGTGTACTACTTTCTGTCTATTAGTGTGGTAAAGTTTTCAGTGACCTGATTGATGTGTGTATGTGAATGTGATTCTTACTTCTCAATCACATCTTCTGTCGTCATCACTCTCGGTCTCTCATCTCGTCAGAGCGATTGTGTTTGTAGTGGATGCCGCTATCTTCCAGAAGGAAGTGAGAGACGTAGCCGAGTTCCTGTACATGTTGTTGACGGACACTGTGATCTCCAGGAATGCCCCGGCTCTCCTGGTGGCATGCAACAAACAAGGTTCAACAACCCTTTTCGCTGTGAATTTACACTTTACCTCTTGTTCTTCATTTTCAGCCTACATCTAAAGTTGCAAAAAATTTTAAATGCCACTGGTATTTCCTGGTCTCTTTATTTTACAGATATCACCACCGCAAAATCAGCTAAACTGATTCAGCAGCAGCTAGAAAAGGAATTGTAAGTAACTGATATACTGTATTTTCTGTATTTCATCTTTATTTTAGGTAGAGCTGCAATGATTAATCAATTAATTAAAAGTATTTTGATAAACTATTTATCAGTTTGAGTAATTTATTTTTTTTAAGAAAAGAAAGTAAAAATTCTCTGATTCCAGCTTCTTAAATATGAATATTTTCTGGATTGTGTACTCCTCTGATGACAGTAAACTTAATATCTTTGCTTGTGGACAAGAAATTTGAGGATGTCGTCTTTGGGCTTTGGGAAACACTGACAGACATTTTTCACCATTTTCTGACATTTGATGGACCCAACAACAAATTGATAAATCGAGAAATTAATCCACACTAAAAGTAATCGTAACTTGCAGCCCTAATTTTAGGTACTTTCATGTTCTCTATTAAAATTTCCTATTGGTTAATTGTTTCAACTGTTAATTCACAAATGTAATGTTCCTCATGTATTAAGTCAAGGTGTTGGTAGACTTCCTAAAGTAAAAAGGAGTAAAATTATTATAGTAGTACTCTCTTTATAAGTGTTAAGTACTCAGTAATAACCTAAAGGTTAAAATATGCATTAAGTTAGGTTAATTTATATTTTTGGAGAGATGTACTTTTCTCTTCACATTGTGTTGGTGTCTTAACGTGGAGTGTTTAGGCTTTGATTGTCATCTTTGGTTTGGTAAATGGCCTGTAGTTTTATATAGGGCTACAACTAATTATTTATTATATAATTATTATTATGTTATTATAATTAACAATAATTATTTTCATTGTCAATTAATTTGTTTCCCAAAGCCAAAGATGACGTCCTCAGATGTCTTGTTTTGTCCCCAACCCAGATATATTCAGTTTACTGTCATGAAGGAGTAGAGAAACCAGAAAATATTAACATTTAAGAAACTGGATTAAACAATCACCAAAATAATTGGCAGTTAATTAAATGGTTCACAGTGAATTGCTTGATTGACTAAATGTTGCAGCTCTAGTCACACCAAGAGGCCATACGAGGTGCTGGCAATTTGGATTTAGTTTTTTGCTCAAGGACCCTCAAGCTGGGGAACGACCCACCATTATGGCTCAACCCTGTCTCTTGTTTCTCTTAGGAACACATTGAGAGTGACGCGCTCTGCAGCCTTGAGCTCTCAGGATGGCTCTGTGGGCGGCAGCGTGTATCTGGGGAAAAAAGGCAAGGACTTTGAGTTCAGCCAGCTGTCCATGAAGGTGGAGTTCCTGGAGTGCAGGGCCCGCGGCAAAGGGGAAGAGGAGGGCGCAGACATTGAGAGTTTAGAGAAGAGCCTGGCTAAACTGTAAAATCGGCAACTCGGCATCCTCAGGGCAGAATTTGACACTGACGTCGGATCAACATCAGCTGCCACCTCTGATATCAAGGGAGGGATGACAGTTGTATCTCAGTGGAGGATTTATTTGACAGGTCAAACATGGTCCTATCTGTGCTGACTGTCAATGTAAAACTTTAAATGGCATCAAAGCTGGAAGAACTTTTGAGACACATTCAAACAAAAAAAAAGGACACAAAGTTATGAAACAGAAACTGATGTAACAGCTTTGTCAGGCCCCACTGCTGAAAAATGATCATGTGCTTATTCAGCGTAAATCCTACTGTGAATGTCCACCTTAATGCGCTTTGTTTGGCTTGTTTACAAAATATATAGTTCAAAGAATTTTGGTGAATTTGCTGTTAATAATTGCAAATGAAACTACAGTTGTGATAAGCCGTCACACATTTTCATTTTAAATTTGTCTCAGCTAGTCTGACTTACAAAGTACCTTGTGAAGACACTTATTCATTAACTTGTGACAGTCAGCCTTGTGCCTTTTTCTTTCTTTCTCTAGTATTATAGAAAAGTGTTTTGCTTGTTTGCAAAAGAATGAAAAGAATCAAAAAAGCTTGTTTGAAAGTGTTGCATGAATTTGAGATTTTGTTTCTAGTTGACTACCTTGTTTTAAAAAAAAACTTATAACGTTTGTGATGTTCAATGGTGCTGCTGATGAAGTCCACAGGTTAATAGGAACAGCATGGTTTCCTGGAATTCTTATATTCAGCCTGTAATGATTAATAAGCAGCAAACATGATTTAATCAAACACGTACAGATCAAAATGTGAATTGTACACCAGTTATATGGGTGTCACCACAGAGCACCAAGAAATTTAGAAGTGTGTCTGTGTGATCTGTTAAAGCTCTGTTTTCAAATGTATTTAGTCTGAGACAGAGCAGTGTGTCACATCTTTGGTTTGTTCTGTTCTTCGTCCTTCTGTCTGGCTCCCGGTTTGGATTGGGATGTGGTTTTTACACAATAGATGCACCGCAGGCTCAGTTCAACATGCAGATGTCTTGTTTAATGTGGTGGTTTTTTTTACAATCCAGAAAAAAAATCATACATAACAAAACGTATTTCAAAGGATGACTTTTATAGGACCATACACACGTAACCCAAAATGAGCCATATCTAATGAGTAGAGCTTGAATAATGACACATGGAAAGATTTCATGTTTAGTTTGTTAAATATTGTGTGAACACCCATACAAAGTTAGACTTCTGTGATGTTGCTTCTGTAAAGATCTATTTACCACAGCACTGTTTAGCGCTTTCCACAGTTTAGACTTTATTAAAAAGAGATGTTACGACCATCACAATATGAAGCCAATCGCTACATGCTGCCAGGTCCAACGCAGGAGTGTATGCATTTCAAAAATGCTTGGAAACTAAAAGCAAGACAAGTCAAAATAGTGTACTGCTTTGACCAAAACAGAAGATTATATGCTCTAAAGTGCATTTATAGTTGAGACAAAGGGTAGACTGTCAGACTGGTGCCCTGATCTGCAACTACCACACTGGGTTCTCCTTTCAGCACAGCAGGGCACAACCAGTTCACCTTGTCCCCATGACTGATGCTCAGTTTGGGCCCAGACCTCTCCTCTGTCACCCCCTCTGCACCCGCTGCCGCTTCATCCTCCACTTCCGCTTCAGCCTTCATTGAGGTCTTTGCTGTATCCTGGGATTGTTCTTTCCTCTTTACCTTGCTCTTACCCTTCTTGCGTGGGGCCGCTGTCACTCGAGTTTTGGCCTTTGCCTCCGGATTCACCACTGGGTGCATACTGAGGTCCCACAGGGCCACCAGGCCGTCATTCCCCCCAGTGACCAGCCAGTAAGGATGGGAAAGGAAACTAACAAAGTGGGCTTGTGAGGCCCCTTGACTGTGGGCCTTGACTGCTCCCTGCTGTTCCAGTTTAGAACCGCCACCGATCCGCATCAGATGCACCCGCCCATCCTCTGCTGCGCAACCCAAAATGTTTCCACAACTCGCCACAGAGAGACAGTGGACCAGTGGCGGGTTGAAAAGCTGACCAGGGCGCTGCTGATGGTCGTCTTCTTCCTCTACTACATCCTGGAGGTTGAGGGTCCAAAGAGGGCGCATCTTCTGCAGACCCCACAACATCACCTGAAGCAACAACAAAAAAAAAGTCAAATGTAGTCTTGGATGACATGACGTAAACACAAATAGTGAAATTCTTTGACGCTCCTCTTCCTCACCTGCATGTCTAATCCAGCAGACACCAGGTTATTGGGCCTGTGAGGCCGAAAAGCCACAGAAGAGCAGATATTAGTGTGTCTACGAAGAGTCCTGCACACTTTGCCACCAGGAAGCTCCAGTACCCGGACTGCCCCTGAGTCATCAGCCACTGCCAGGGCTGAACCCGTATCGTTTAGCGCCAAAGCATTGATCTCCTCCTCGGCCGCACACTGAAACTCCTCCACGGGGCCCTTCAGGTTTCGGGGGTCGAGCACGCTCACTACGTCTCCATGTGACACAAAGAGCTGGCCCGGAGCTGCAGGTGAAAACACAACACTTGTGCAGTCCTCTTCACCACGGAGTGTGAGACTGCCTATGATTGTTCCCTCTTGGCTCCACACTGTGACCTCCCCAACCTCAGAGCCTGAAGCCAGGAGACCCTGAGGGCCTGACGATGCCCCAACACACAGGATGGATGTGGAGTGGCCCTCAGACCACTGCCTGGCCATGCTGACCCTACAAGATGTAAGTTAACAACGAGAAGATAAACATCAGTTTGTGGTAGTCCTATGTAAATTTAATTCTAATTTTATTGAACAAGAACTTATAATGTGGCCAATAATTTGTTGACCCCATTTACATGAACTAAGGTGGACTAAATACTATAAATAGTTCAACAGTAGCACAAACTGCAGCCTCTAAAATGATCAAAGTTGAATCATCAGCAACTCTCTCAAACAGTTAGGACATCTGATCTAGAGCTCAAATGATTAATCAATGAACACTCTCTGGTTCCAGCTTCTTAAATCATAACATTCACTAAGCTTTTTTTGTTTGTTTTCTATGGAAGTAAACTTATTTGTGTTTTTGACAAAATAAGCGATATGAATGTGTCAGCTTGGGGACTTGTAATGAGATTTTTCTGGTATTGACTATCGAACATATTCGATTATACAGTAAATAATCAACAGCTTATTAATAATAAAAATAGTTATTGGTTGCAGGGCTAAACTGAACATAATAACGAGAGGATTTATTACAGGACTGTTTACTAAACTTTTAGCTAGGCGTAATAAAGCTAGGCCTAATAAACTGGCGCCTGATGTTTTCAAAGCTTCAAAGAGTGAGAAATAGCATCAGTGTAACGTTACATGAACACTGTTTAAAAATCCGGGTAAACCCTATTAGATACTAAAAAAATGAATGTATGTATGTCGATGTTTGCAGAATAGTTATCTAATAGTTACCCAGTAGCCAGAACAAATACTTCAGTTGCTACAAGCACAGAATAAAAATGTCAAACCACATCAAAACAGCTATCTGGCTCTGCTAATGTGTTATCCTAAAAACTAGCATGTATCTCCCTGTTCAGCTGGCTGCGATAAAACAATAAACACGCTATTGTTGTTAATTTCCTGATTGAAACTAATTTGCTTATTAAAACAAATTTCTAAAAGCGACATTATCGATAACTTAAGGACCAAAGAATTACGCTACCTTAGCCGTTAAAAACTTCGGGGGACTGCCATGTGGGACTGGGTCGCTCACTGATGACATCATTATTGACTGTCAAGATGTTTATTCCCTGTGTTTAGCGTGCCAGGCGGATTTCATTAGCTTTTTTCGCCAGGAATACCAGACGTATAACACAAACCATTGGTATAAACCTAATCTACTTAAATTTATCTCTAATTTAATAAAAAAATTTATTGGTGAAGGTGGATGCTGGGTGAAACCAAACTGGGAGGAAATTCTGCCTGAAAGGATAGTTCAGGGCAAAAATACCTGCTTTTATGTTTCTCAATTGAAAGCGTTCATTTCAGATCATAAGGTGAGTTGCATGTGGATAAATATGAGAAGTGACATACAACTGTGTTTGTACAATATCATATCTCAAGTACCTGTAAGTGTTTATATACAATTCAAATGTTCAGTGGTTATGTCTGTAATATTGCATGAATTGTCCCCTTGTTGCACATTATTTCCTATATGTATAGGTAACAGAACAAGTATGAAATACATGCATTAGTTCCTACACATTCTGCAGAAAATGAAAAAGAAAAGCACAGAGGACACAGAGGAGGCCGAGCATCAAGTCATTGTTTAGCGGGTCCCCCCACCTGGCCATCATTTCCACAATGGCTGCTGTCCGCTGATTCATCCAAAGCTGTAGATCTGATGAATGTGGTCCATTTCTGGGTCAGTGAACAGAGTGCCATACTGCCACACTGAATAGGGAACAGAGAGGAGAGGCCACAGCTGTCAAACTACACACACTCAACACACACTGCAATTACACTGTCAACCCAGCATTCAAATGCTGATACACACTGTATATCCTCCACCAAGAGGCAGCAGTTTGAAGCACTGTGAATGTAAGTACTCTGCAGTCATTTACCTTTTTTCCTGCTCATGACATGTGCATTAGATAGTACTTCCTTTTAATAATGCAACTAGAAATAGAAATATTTCACTAAGCAAACAGATAATGTGTTGAATGTGTTTCTGTAGTTGCTTAAAGCAGGTAGTGTGAATTTGTCAGCAGGTTTCCTGACAGTTTCAACAACTCCTCCCATGGCATGAGTAAGAGGATGCCTTTTCTGTTTGTGTCTTTAAATTAAGCTTGTTGAAGTTGTCGTAAAGCTTGAAGTAAGGTATGTGGCATATTTTAGAGTTAGATTCTTATTTAGGACATTGTGCTTGAATTAAAATGTATCTGGGGCTTTAATTGTCTAGCATATGTAATTAATGACCCAACTCAGTGAAATTGAACATTCATCATGTCATCTTAAAGAATGTAATGTTTAACAACTTGATCAGGGGCACCAGTAGCAGGCAGAAGAAAGTGCATAACACTGCTGTAATGGTTGAGCTAGCAAACAGAATTCACATTAGTAACAGTTGAATAACCTTTTCCTAACGCTGGACTTCTTCCAGAGATTGTTAATGAGAGAAAGACTCAGAACCAGATTCTGATGCAACATCTCTTGAATTAGAGATGTCAGAAAAGAGTCACTGTGCACTAACCTTATAATACCAAAACATCTACTGTACTTACAAATTACATATTTTACAGTTTAATATACCAATTGTATAAAAACATGTACATACAATCCATTATTGTCAATATATATCAAAGCAGGCTGTATATACTGTACATAGATGTGTAGAAATGCATGTAGTGTACAATAACCACCTACGGTATGTTTATAACCCATACTACCCATAATATTTATTTTAGCACTCTTTGCTCTCTCATTCACCCCTGCAAAAATTCTAACCCTGTATATAGACATCTATATCTACTATTAAACCATATTTCACCTACTTCACCTACTAGCGCTGTTGTCCTTGTTTTAAGAGAGCTGGTCAATTTCCTTGTATACCGAAGCAGCTGATTCTGATTCTCCTTCTCAGAAGATTTGGAGTTACCTTGAAACAGTCATACACCAGAGAGCATGAGGTCCCCTTATTACCCAGCAAGGTCAGTGCTTTTCCGCAAGGAGCCAAATGGAGTGACATACAGGGTCCCAGCCCTGCTCTACCTGTCCCGCTCTAGATCCTTCCTGGCCTTTTGTGAGGAGAGACTCAGCCCATCCGACTCTCAGGCTCACCTGCTGGTCATGAGGAAAGGCACTTTCTATAGGAACTATGTGGAGGTCAGTGTTAGTCACTGGGTCTTTGTAGTGCCCTGTAGATGGAAGACCCTTTTCAAATTACTGTACCTTTTAAAAGCAAAAGCACTTCAGGTTCAGGTTCTTTTATTTGTACCCGTAGGTAGATTCGGTTTGCAGTAGACGAGGCATCCATCTTGACACCCATTTTCAGTTAAGATGGAAACATCTAATAGTGTTTACGGATGATTATTACAACCAAAATCTCTTTTCTTTTTCTTTACTTCTCATTTGACATTTGTATATTTATTACATGACTATAAAGTAATCAAAATGACAGCGTAGCTATTTAACAACTATTAACAGAGTGCAGCAATTTCAAACCCTTTTTAAATTACTGTACAAATTAAATTACTTTACTGTGAATTATTCAAATATACTGGTGGTGATGGCGCATAGATGAGATGCTTGCCTTTGGTGTGGGAGACCTGGGTTCGATTCCCACTGTGAGTCCCTGAGCAAGACACTTAACCCCTAGTTGCTCCAGAGGCATGCGACCTCTGACATGTATAGCAATTGTAAGTCGCTTTGGATAAAAGCGTCAGCTAAATGAATAAATGTATACAGTTATACAATACTGTATGTAAATTCTAGCTTACAGTAGTTCAAATGACAGTATTGTGCTGTTTACAAATACAGTAATGACAGTATTGCAAAGTCACCTCAGCCTCAGCTGGGGTTTCTGTGCAACAACTTAACTGGCCTGAAAATAAACTGTAGGTTATCAATGTCCAACTGGTAGCAGAGCTTAAAACAAATGTATAATAAAACATTTTCCATATGTTGTCATGTATGAAAACTGTTAGAGCACTACTTTATTACTAGAAGCAAATTATTTAAACAGCATTTGTAAAAGAATGATTCTGTCCGAAGAGTTAAGATTATTTTCTCAAAGGTAAAAAAGGTGAGATTCCAGCAGTGTCATCACTTTCCACCATTGCTTAGTGTTTGGCTTTTATTGAACCACCTAGTTGCTCAGGCATTTTATCTGTTTAGAAATAAACAGTAGGTAATAATGTTGTATTTTTAGATCTGTACCTTTTACACTCCTTTTTCCTTCTCCCTTTTGTTGTTGCAGTGGGAGGACATGCGTGTCCTGGGCACTGCCTTCCTGCAAGGCCACCGGTCCATGAACCCGTGCCCAGTGTACGATGAGTTTACAGGTACTCTCTTCTTGTTCTTCATCGCCGTCCTCGGCCACACCTCGGAGTCCCATCAGCTGGTGACGGGGAAGAATGTGACTCGTCTCTGCTACATCTGCAGCACTGATGACGGAGACACCTGGAGTCCTGTCACCGACCTAACCAAGAGGGTCATAGGAGACACTATCAAAGGTCAGGGGAGATTCGTGAAGGGAAAATCCACCCTAAAACAGACCCACATTGTGTTTAATGTTAAATGATTGGAATGCTACAGTAAATCGTTGGCGTACTCTTAAGCTGGATATCAGAGCATCAGGACCTGAAATTATGACACTTCTTGTTTAAGATTTTACATCTAGCTACAAGAACAATCTTTGCTTTTTACTTGTGAAATACTGAATACATCATACGTAGATGTGACTTCATATTAATGGCTCACAAGCAAAAAAATAAACGGGAACCAGTGCTGTAAGCAGACCTCATTACTGCAGTTTTGTCTCTCTACTACTGATAAGAAACTTTCAAGTTAACAAATTAAAACTGAGTGGTGCAATATTATAACATGAGATCTGTAAAAATAGTATTTACACACTTTACTACTTAAGGGTACATTTTCTCTTCAGTATGAAGTGATAACAAAATAGTTATTCAAGTCTTTCTCAAAAACATTACTCACATGCTCATTAAAATGCTGTGTTTATTCTGGCCTTGATTTCGATGTAAGAGATGGGGGGACAAAACATATATACCCACTTATACTTTAGAGGGTCGCTAGGGGGCTGGAGCCAATCCCAGCTGATTAAAATCAGTATCATTCATGTGTCCACGTATCATTAGCCTGGGAACCCGACGAATCTGCCAGCCCACGTCTCATATGCTCTGGCAGATACAGTACGTACTGCTTCCATTGAGGCAGATTTCCATCAGTCCTGGATCTGGTCAGGCCAGTCACAACCCTTTATCTACTATGGGGCGGGTTTTGATACAACAATACTAGAATCTGTACACGTCAGTATTAAACAAACTGTACTGATATATTTCACCTAAAGCTTTTGTTGATGAGAATGATGTGTTTGCGTACAGGATTTGGTGAGTTAAATTTACCAGCTATGCTAAATCACACACTTCGTTGCTCTGACTGGTTGTAGGTCAATGAAATTGCGTCCAGAGGCATTTTTGTCACCCCTTGACTGTATATGGTGCCAGGCTAGTGTATCATCTGAACGAGTCACTGGATTTTTATATAACAACATGTGCCAGTCACTTCCTCCTCTGTCCTTGCAGAATGGGCCACTTTCGCTCTCGGCCCCGGTCACGGCATCCAGCTGAAGTCAGGTCGTCTGCTGATTCCTGCCTACTCTTACCACATCGAGTGCAAAGAGTGCTTTGGACAGATCTGCCAGACCACTCCCCATGCCTTCTGCTTTCACAGTGACACCCACGGGCGAACCTGGCGCTTCGGGGAGCCGGTGCCATGGCCGGAGAGTGTGGAGTGTCAGATGGTGTCTGTGGATGAAGAGGATGGGACCAACGTGTTGTACTGTAATGCGCGCAGCCCTCTGGGATACAGGGTGCAGGCCCTCAGTCTGGATGATGGAGCGGTGTTTCAGGAGGGGCAGCTGGTGCAGCGGCTGGTGGAGCCTCGGAACGGTTGTCATGGTAGCATTGTGGGATTTCCTGCCCCATTACATTTATGTAATTCTCTTTACCATCACTTAAACCAGCCTGTGCATCACTCCAGACACTGGACATCCTGCATGACCTGCTCAAGTAACACCAACTCTCCCTCTCCAAACATTACCACTTCACCCAATCATAGTGCCCCTCCAGATTTCCTAACCCCCACCTGGGTAGTATACTCCCACCCAACATGGACCACCGCACGCAAAGATCTCGGTGTGTTCCTCAGCCTATTTCCCCGCGATCCAGACAGTTGGCGTGGCCCCTGGGTGATCTACGAGGGCCCCAGCGCCTACTCTGACCTCGCCTATCTAGAGTTGCCATCCTCACCTGGTGCACCGCCCGCTGTGGCCTTCGCCTGCCTGTTCGAGTGTGGTACAAACACCGCCTACGATGAAATCTGCTTCAGCATCTTCACTCTCTACGAGCTTATTGACAATCTGCCCCGAAATGTGCAGTTGGGATGTGACAATGACAAAAGTAAAAGACAGCAGAATGAAGTCTCTGAGACGAGTCGGAGTTGTACACATAGAAGTGATGCTCAAAGTACACCAGTTTTCCATGAGGTGAAGAATCGGAGGAAGAAGAGCAAGTTGACTGAGATGTGCTGTGTGTCTTAGATGTAGTTTTTAAGCTCGTCTAAGTCTTCCAATAACGGTTTTCTATATACACTCAGTAGCCACTTTACTAGGTACACCTGCACAGTCTAATGCATTCCAGTACAACTGATCTGCCATAAAGTCAGCTTTTTTCAAACTGTCATAGAGGAGTTAATTAAATTATATGTTTTAGCATTGCTGCGATGGACTGGCGACCTGTCCAGGGTGTACCCGCCTTTCGCCCGATGTCAGCAGGGATTGGCTCCAGCCCCACGCGACCCTGTACGCAGGATAAGCGGTTGACGATGAATGGATTGATGGTTTTAGCATTGAGGGCATAGTTAGGGGTGGTGTGTACTGGACTGCATTACATTCAGAGGTGTTTCTAATGTTCCCATGTATGTAAATAGGAGCACAATTTTTTAAACACCTCTCAATATAATGTAATTTAGTACAACATTACTTTTAACTGATCTGTGTCATAAAGTCATAACTCCTTTATAAATCCAAATCTTAAACCGCGTAGATTTTGCATTTTAACTACCCCAGATTGACAGGACACGGTTAGTTTGGTCCTAATTAATGATAGACAGATTAATCGGGCATTTTGAGATAAAATATTACATTATAGAGATATCTGAGATACCTGCACTCACAAGGCTAAAAAACAAATAATGTCTACAAGGCACATCTGCAGGCAGCCTTGTCAGTGTGGTTGCTGTGGACTCCCCCTTGTGAGTTTTGGGAAGGTGGCGAAAAAGTTGGTTTCAAGCCCTAAACTTTTCTAAATATTAACACATTTCTCCTAAATGAGTGCAAATGTATTCTAAACCCATTACTGGCTAAGGTTAAATATAAATTGTTATACTGTAGAGAATAATGCAGTTGAATGACTTCACTTCTCACAAACTGTACCCCACTCTTCCTTAAACATCTGTTATGTTCTGAAATCTGCCGCATAACCCAATGTATTTTTCTCTGTCATTACCTAATAAAAGTTCCATCTAAAACAACACATTACTGGCTGAGGTAACAATGTATATTAAATTGTACTCTGCACGGAACATGTAGTTCTACGTGACTTTTCTTTAGTTTGATACTGGCATTATGTAGCATCATCGGCCACTGAAAAACCCGTATCGGTCAACCACCAGTCCTGCTCTTCCACATTTAATCAAGCTGCCGAGGCTGCAACCCATCAAGCTCACATATAAATCACAGCTGCTTCACGAGCAGCAGCTCTAATGGGATAACTGTTCATGAAACCGATCCGTTCTTCCTGTGAGGGTGCTGAAACATTTGGGGGCTGACAGCTTAAGTTGCATGAGCTCATACAAAGAACAGAACCAGATAAAGTGGAGCAGTTTGTTTAGTTAAGAGGACAAAAAATAAACAGATCGTGCCAGGAAAAAAGCCGCATCTGGACAGTGTCTTCTCTCAGCTTCCCCTCCCTCCTCCTCCTGTTACATAACTCCACACTGACTGGAGGGTCATTTCCCCGCCTGCACTCTTTCACAGAAGTAGACTTTTGCTTTTCTCTGGCATCTGTGCTTTACGGCATACTATAATGAGTTTGAGGCCCTTTGTTGTTCTGGCTGTGTTAACTGGGGTAATCGGGAGCCCCAACATCAGACCTGAGGCCGAGGTGGACCCGTCGGCTCATCCCAACAGCCTACCAGAGACTGTGGAGGAAACTGAAATCTTTGGGCAGGTGAGAAAGAACTACCTCTGATGGCTTTGGTGTGTAATCATGTTTCTTTCTGCTGGTTTTTCCATTTGTTTTGTCGCTATCAGCTGCATTGTTCGTGTGAAATATCTGCACAAATAGCTCAAGTTTAGCAACACAGAATGGTACTGTACAAGAAAAATATGGGTTTCCATAAAATAGATAAAGTAAAGTCAAACCAAGTGTTTGTAAGAAGTTGTCTGAGACATAAATGACCTGCACAGAAAAACAACATCCCTTTAAAAAGATGTATATATTTGTTGCAGTCATTGTTACATAAAGACCATTCTGTACATAGTACAAAAGCCATTATAAGCTCAAGTCAAAACAATGAGCTTTCTTTACCAACCACCATCTGGATGCAGAGCAAAGTGGTGCTAAAATCAAGGTAATAAATATGTTGTCCGCAGGGGTCAAACGTTAGGGAGACAAAATACCTTAAACTACAAAACAAAACTAAAATGTCACAGTTTTTTATGGATCCACAAATTAAAGCCTTATTGTCGAGTCAGGATTGATGGTGGGCAGAAAATGTGAGTGAAGATGAAGGACGGTGGTCATGTCAAAGTTCAATAGTACACAGTTTTAACATTTAACAGTTTTCAACTCTTCCACTTGTTCTTCTTCGCAGGAAGCTGCCCTGTGGCCTCTAAGTATTTGTGGACGAGTTCCTCTTGTGTGGATGGCAGGCAGGGCTGGTATCTGCTGTAGTCCATGGTGTACTCCCCTTTTCCCTGGATACACAATAATAGACAATGTTAGCATTAAAATTCTAATGTATTATGGATGTTGTGTGAATTTTAAAGCACCTCCAGAACAGGGTAATTTGTACTGTTCTTGGTCCCTTACTTTATTAGTTTCAGTTTTATTTCTAGAGAGGAGAGGATGAACATGTTACACTCATCTGAGTTTAACCTCTCAGTCTACACAGAGGATACTGTCCTTCTCTCTACCTGGTGGAGGTTGCACCCACAGCTTGAGACACTGCAGGCAATACTCAAGGGTGGAAAAACACTGCAAATTCATGGCTGTTTTTCTTCCCCTGGTAAAAAATGATTTAATCTATATTTTTATTTACATTTAATATTCTCCTCAACAGAGGCTAGAATTTAACAAAATACAACGTTTATCCATCATAAAAGTATTATTAGGTCTCTATTAGGAAAGCTAAATATGTTTTTCAAGAGGTTAGTGTATTAACAATCCATTAAATCTGAGGTTTTACTTCTGACATCAAACCTATACCTTCACTCATCTGAATGCTCAGCATCATCTGGACTATAGATATAAGGCCTTTGAACTTACCTCAGTACAGGAGCGTAGTTCAGTGGCGTAGCCGAACATGTCGTTTAGTGGAATCTGTTGGGAGAAACAAGCTGAAATTAGTCAAATGGTGGTGACGGATGAGAGAACAAATACTGTAAGCTGAAGGACCAGGGGATACAGGCTGCATATGAAAACTGGACTCACATCAGCGTAAAGAGTGAAGTATCCTTCAGCTCCGTCCTGTCCCGTGATAACACCATGCCGACGGTTCACACCAGCAATGACGGTTCCCTGAAACTCCTGAGGTGCTACGATTTCCACAGACATGATTGGCTCCAGGATGGTCGTGTTGGCCTTTTCCATCGCTGAAGAGAGCGCATTGAAACCAGAGTTAACGTCCAGAACAGAGGCGACGCAAACAGGGAATGAAATTAAAATGAAACAGGAGGTCATATCGAACGTCAGCCCATCATCTTGTAACCATCACCTTGTTTTAGCGCGCCCTCTCCTGCACGGATGAAGGAGATCTCATTGGAGTCCACCATGTGATGCGCTCCATCTTCCAGGAGGAATCGGAGTCCTGAGATCTTGTGCCCGCTCAGGGGGCCCTTCTCACAGGCCTCCCTGAAGCCCTGCAGCATGATGGGAAGACACAAGCAGTGAAAGACAATAGAGTACATGGCTTTGGTAATATTTTATAGATAGTTCATATCTATGTAGCTGCACTTTGGTCGTGACTACATTGAAGTTAGGAAAATTAACCTTTTCAACAGCTGGGACAAACTGCTTCGGGACGTTGGTTCCAACAGTCAGGTCCTCAAACTCCAGCTTGGTGTAATGCTCTGGCTCAAGAGGCTCAAGGACTCCAATAACTTTGCCGTACTGCCCAGACCCACCAGACTGCTTCTTATGGGTGAAGTCAAACCTGCAGAAAAAGGGACAAAAGATTTTGAAGCAGGATTACACAGCAAGCCAACCAAGCAACTTGAGATATGTATAGTTTGGATTTTGACTATCTGTTTAGTGATATTTTTATACATGATACATGATGATTGATATTTTATATTTGCACTTTTTCTTATTTGTACAGCAACTGCTGCACAGCAACAGTCGGTACCAAAGACCCTTAGAGAACACTAACAAAGGTGGTGCTGTAACTGCAAACAAAAAAATTTAAAACATTATTAAATTAAATAACATTTTTTTCTTTTTCATAATTACAATTTTCTCCAACTATTTTCACGGGTCAAACAAAGAAAAACACATTTTTTTTATCTCTCTCTCTCTGGGAAGAAAAAGTATTGTGTTATTCTAAAATAAAACGTTACATAAAGACCGACTTTGTGCACCTCTATTTTCAATTATACAACAGAATTGGCTAATATGGGGGGGAAATATCCGATATCATCAGTGTTGGCTTTCAAAGAAATAAAGATTAATAATATAATTTAATTGCAATTGAAATACCAGCACCAAATCTGACTGATGTCTCCATTAGGTTGAAAGAATTTCTAAGGGGCTATTTGGTTGCCTTTCCTGTTACGTTAAGCTGATTCAATAAAGGAGGAGAGGAAACAGAAAAGAGCTCTGTCTCTTTAAGAAGGGGCTGTCCTCAAAAAGCTCTGGTGACTGAGGAAGTGGGAAGCAATCTTTCCATTTGCATGAGGAGCAGCTGACATCGGGCAGATAAAACTTTCCATCTGCCAAGTTAACAAGCAGGGAGTTCCCATTACAGGCAAGATCAAACTCCCTGATTTAATTCATTTTTCCAGCTGTACAGTACGTCTTCACCCTGTACTTTCTCTTAGACTTCTACATTTGCTTTCCTTCCTTTCCTACACTCTTCTTATCTAGAGAGAAACCAACCAAAGACAAACACTCCACCCTGCTGACACCTGAGGGTCAAAGTCCTTGAGGGGTTAGAAGCCCATCCCGGTTCATTACAGCAGCTCATTATTTCCTCTCTCTTTTTCTTTACTTTCTCTGGAATAACAGCAAGTAGTATTAGCAAAGGAGGAGGTTGAAGAGGATGTGATGGCGACCGGAGAGCTGAACCCCAGTCACTACCCTGCTCAGAGGGCAGCCAAAGTGGTCCAACACTACCTCAACACCCGCTACGGCTCTCCATACAGGCTGTACGGACAGCAGATGGTCCACAGCGGAAACGCAGAGGTCAGCTGAACTTTAACTGTTAAAGTTTAGTTTCCAGTGAAGAGACACATGTTCTAACTACTATCAACTATGGTGATTTCTGACTTTCCTTTTTAGGATGTGGCAGACTCTGGAAGAAAGTATCAGCTGGAGATTTCAGTGCAGGAGATGATCAGCAATGTAAGATACGATTATTTATCGCACTCTGAAACAGGGGCTTACAAATGGGTTAGATAGACCCTAGATTAGCTTCAGTATCATAATCGTAGTTTAATTTCTGAATTTGTTTGATTGGATTTGGTTTACAAGCGCAGTGCTCCTTAATCAATAGAAAAAAACCCCAAAATGAGTGAGTTATTCATGCCCAGATATTAAAAAACACTGTAAAACAGACTAAAAACTACACTATCTAATAAAAAAAATGTTGCTCCTGAATCAGATCCCTGAAGATTCACTTTAGTGCTCATTTGGTTTGTCTGCAAAGACTTCTCAAATAGGGATGGACATAATCAATGTTTGACTGGCATTTATCTTTAACATATCCAGAGTTAATGGCATTGCATTCACATTGTACTTTATACTCTGGCTTTAGAGTGAGCAGGTCTGACAAGATTTAACTAAACAGCTGAAAAAAGGAGGCAGTGTGGTGCAACATTGACTCACCAGCTGCCATCGTAACATTTGGAAGACGCCTTTGCTCTGTGTCCTCCCCTCTGCTTCTCTCTTATTAAAACCATCCTTTTCTTCTATTTGCTTCTTTTTAATCCACTTTACCCCTTTTTAAAAAAAAAAATCCATGCAGACTACAGAGAAATGCTCTGCAGAGGTTTTGTTTCCGAGGGGAGAACAGCAACGCTCAGCCCAGGTCCAGGCCTCATGTGAGGAGCTCCTTAAAATCAACACTAAAGATCAAGAAGAGGCCTTGTACCAGCAATACAAGACGAACCAAAGCCTGCTGTCTGCGCAACATTTACCTGGTATGTATGATTAAACAGAATCTGCACAGTATTGCTCACATATTGCACAACATCGGCCGTTTGAAATTGCAGGGATTTCAACACAGTTAAGCTGATGATGATACATGGGGCCACTTTTTGAGCAATGTTGCTGGGCAATCGTGCTAGTGGCAAGTCCGAATATGTTTTCAATGGATAGCGGCGGTGCGGGGCGGGTGGCAGAGTGGTGGGGGAAGGGGATTACGGTAGTAATCTTTACTCATTACCATTGACGGCAACGTTGCCCAGCACGATTGCTCTAAAAGTTGCTCTGTGTATCATTTTAGGGTTTGTGGCTTTAACAACAATAACTGACTGATTGTTAACCCTGACAGTGTGATCACCTGTACATTATGAAGCACACACCCCGCATGTTTACATGAAAAGACAGATGTGGCATAATCGAGCACTGCGCATTGCGGCTGTGGCTCATGGAGCAGGTTCCCCGTTAATCGGAAGGTTGGCTGTTGAATTCCGGGCTCCTCCAGGCTGCATGTCGATGTGTCCTTGGGCAAGATGCTGAACCCCGAATTGCCCCTGGTGGCTCCACCAATGTGTGTGAATGGTGAATGCGATGTAGTATAAAAAGCGCTTTGAGTGGTTGCAAAGACTAGAAAGGCGCTATACAAATACGGAGCATTTACATTACATTTACATTCCTTCATAACACAGAGATGATCTGACCAACAGATCGCTGCGGTCACATGGAGCCTGACATGAAGCCTCTCTGGCACCTGTGCATTGTGGCCTCCAGCTTTGTCATGCTGAACGAATCCACTGAAAACACTCTGTACAACATGGCTCAGGTGGCCAACATCACGCAGCTGGTAGGTCATTTCATACGTTGTTGGGTCTGCTTGTTCATCCTGATTGATAAGTAGGGTTGAAGTTGTTTCAGTTACTATTTTAATTAATTGTATAATATACAAGTCAGACATAATATTCTGCCATGATGTGAGGTTTTAGACACAAAGAAAGCTTATAACATTTGTGTTGAACTCAGTCGTTTGGGGGGGGGTTTCACCTATGTGCTGCAGGCAACTGAGAACGACCAGCTGAAGTTTGACTGTCACATACTGCTGCATGAGATGGTGTCCCAGGTAACCACTTATCTATCATCATCATCAACTTTTTAAAATATAAATGTTTGCTATATTTCCTTGATGATTCCTTAATAAATAACTAATAAATGCTTATAATATATAATAACTAGTGGATGAAGCAGATACTAACTTCAGCACTAGTGGCATCTTACAGTAAACTGGTCTGGTAGCAGCTATTGAGAACACGCGCACTCATCTACTATGTGAGGTTTTGGTACAGTTTCACTACCATGATAGCTCACATTAATCTGCAGATCTGTGTTATTTTTCCAGGAAATCATTCACTGGAAACTGCTGTTCACGTGGTCTCCTCCAGAGGGAGTGAAAGTGCTGCAGATGGAACAGCTGCCGCACTGCCATCATTGCGAAAAACCTCCAAATACAAACTAAACGGTTGACACTCACCACACTGTTATAACAACCAAAACCACATCTTGTATTCAAACATAGGATGATACTGTGTATTTGGTGATGCTGCAAGCACTAAGCCATGATATGCTGCTGGAGCTTGCAGCACAAACCTTTGAACTACAGAAAGTTTAGACTGTCAAATAAATAATAAATGTGATGAATCAATCCTTTATAATGATGGTATGCTTACATTGTGCTATTTTTAGTCCTTTAGTCCTTTGTATTGCTATTGTATTTTAGCCAGAATAAACAGTTTATACAGATTATTGCCTCAGCTTGTGTGTGCGTCAGGAGATCGACACTTACTGTACAGGACTGGTTATTGTCTCTCTGAAAGCCACTTTGGGTTTGCCCATCACACAGGGACAGTTGTATTCCCTCTCCATCCTCTGATTCAACAAACCAAAAACAAAAAAGGGGGGAAAAAGACAGAAACACAGGCCAGATATGTTAAGTTTAAAAGGGACAATTCCTTCAAACGTGAGGAAAAAGGTAATGTTTAATCTGTAGTTACAATTACTCACAGAGAACTGTAAATATAACTTACACATAGAGACAAACAAAGGCGAGAAATTAGTTTTCAAAACGGTCATACTTGCAAAGTCTTTCACATAGTTACATTTGACAGCTCCAAACCTCCACAAATCAAAACTAACTACATATAAAGCACTCAGTATGAGACAAAACGTGTCCCATCGAAACATGTATGAGCATGTGACTCATTTATTGCAGGGCACCCTTCACAATGTACATCTGAGCGGTTACCTGGGAGTAGATTTCAAGATGCAGCTCGCCCATGCCTGAGATGATGGTTTCTTTGCTCTCTGTGTCAAAATGCACTCGAAACGTTGGATCTTCCCTGGTGAAACGGTTAATACCTTTGGAGAATTTATCCAGGTCATTCTGGTAATAGGAGAAAAGAGTTAATAGATGCAATTTAGACTCTAGCGTTTGGTTTCTTACAGAATGTATGTGTGAATTAAAGTATTGCACCTTGTTGGCTGGCTTCATCGACATGGAAATGACAGGCTCTGGGACGTGAATAGACTCCTGTGGGACAAAATGATAAATGAACGGAAGATGTTCTTATTGCTTGGGAGGTAAGAAGGAAAAGAAGAATAATTTCCAAAAACAAAAAAAAAGGAGCAGGATTCTTGCTCTTTCACAGGTGGAAACATTGAGGTTACTCACCATGGAGAGGTTAGCGCTGGTCCTGGATGTGAAAGTGTCTCCGCTAGCACAGTCAATCCCAAACAGGGCACAAATATCTCCTGCATAGACCTCATCCACATCCTGAAACAGCATGTAAGGAATACATAGTAAGGAAACAAAGGAAGGATGGAAATCAATTTCAGGACTGAGTTGATCCAAATGTCTCATCTTTAATAACTGAAATATATTATTAAATATCATACAGTGTCATGTCTTGTTTTTGATGCAAGAAGAATGGAAATGTTACTCTGGTGTCGCAAGGGATGTGGTTGTTATCTACACAGCTGAGTGGTGCCGAAAGAGGAACCTAACTATTTTGACCAGTCATGTTCCACTGATGTTCAAACTGCAAACCACAGATGGAAAACTGTGACCTCCGACAGCCTGCTGACGTGCGCTGGCATGTTCTCACCTCCATTTGGTCAGCGTGAAGACGCACAAGTCTCTGCACTCTGACTTTCTTGTTCGTGCGTGTGTTGTAGATGTATTCCCCCTTCTTCAGACAGCCCTGGTACACCCGCACATACGTCAGCTGGCCAAACCTTCCCGCCTGTTAATGACAAACGCCACAGGAAACAACAAAAGCATAACAGACTGAGACCTTCCTGTTAAAGTAAAAATAGCTAAAATCGAGATAAAGAGCAGAGTCATACCTCCAGTTTGAAGGCCAGACCAACAAAGGGGTTTGTAGGGTCTCTTGTAGGGTCCATTTGAATCTTTGTTGGTTCGCTGGCATCTCTAACACCGTGAAAAACCCACTGACATTAGTGCACAAAGTTTCTCAAGCAAGAAAATTCTTACTGTTACTCCTTGACAAGACTTTGCATACAAATTGATGACCATGGTCCACACTCACTCGTCATTGAGGATAGCATAGTTTTTGACTTCAGTGGGGTTGGGCAGGTAATCTAGGACAGCGTCCAATAGAGGCTGGACACCCTTGTTCTTCAGTGCTGTGCCCACCAACACTGGAGTGAAGAGACGCTGCACTGTGGCCCTGCGGATTGCAGCCTGGAAGACAAGGGATTCAGTGTTGGTTTGAATGGTTTTCTAGGTCTTGTTTGTTGACTTTAAATCAATAGACAATGTCATGTTATTTATTTATCCAGCTTATAATTAGGGCTGCAACTAACGATTATTTTTATTGTCTCTAAATCTGTCGATTGTTTTCTCAATGAATAGATTGGTTGTTTCATCTTTAAAATGTCAAAAAATGGTGAAAAATGTCGATCAGTGTTTCCCAAGCCCGAGATGACGTCCTCAAATGTCTTGTTTTGTCCAAATCTTACCGTAATGATATTCAGTTTACTTTCATCGAGAAGTAAAGAACCCAGAAAATTTTCACATTTAAGATGCTGGCATCAGAGAATTTTGACTTGTTTTTTTTTTCAGAGAAAGATTCAGAGCGATTAATTGATTATTAAAATAGTTGTCGATTAATTTAACAGTTTACAACTAATCGACTAATCACTGCAGTTCTCCTTACAATATCTCAGATTGCCATTTTGGTTTTGATAAGATTGGCTGATTGGCTGCTTGGTTTTTAATTAAATGTCATGACAATTATTTGACAGAAGCCATGAATTTGGTTCAGACATTGATGTCCAGCTTCAGGATGAATTGTGATAATTTTTGTAATCCCTTAACTGTTAATCCAGCGCCACCATCAGGTAAAAATATTTTTATGACCAAACTAATGACATCCCTCAGCGGCACTTTGTGTTAGGCGCTAATTTTAAACGTCACAGTTTTCCACATGATGAGGGGTGCTTTTAAAAAACCCTCAGATTTCAAACACTTTCTCCCTTTTTACAAAGACACAAACCTTCAGGTCGTCATTGGTTGGAATCTTTTCCTCCAAAAACATCTCTCCCAGGACTTCGTCAGCATTAGATACACACTCCACCAGTTCCTGCCTCCGGGCTTCAGCCTCTGCACGGAAATCTGGCGGGATCTCATCATAGCGGATAGTTTGACTGCAGAGAGGAAGCAACATTTTAAATCAGCTTCACATTGTTCAGGAGCTGAATCTCACTCTCTCAAGGTGTGAAACAGGGATAGAATTTCTGTTTGCAGCCAAGATGTCTTCAATCTGTCTGATTTATGGTAAAAACTGAATATTCTTACTTCTAAAGAATCATTAAAATAAACAAGACATGATAAAAACTTTATAGGTTGTTAATTACAGTGCAAAAAAAAATAATTTACACTATGACAGAGACAGATTCCTTCATGGTCAAGCTACCAAAGGGGAAATCCCTCACCCAAAGGGTCCTTCGAAATACATGCTCCGCTCTTCTACAAGGTCAATGATGCCGCGCATGTTCCCCTCCAGGCCGATGGGGATGCTCACGAAGGCTGCGTTGTGGTTCAGTTTGGTTCTGAAGAAGACAGGGGAAAAAAAGTGAGAAAAACTCATTAAATTAAGGGAACAAAAATACACAAAGGAAAACCACAGCTGAGTACAACAAGGCATTACACTACTGTCTGGGGTATGATGATTTCATGTCGACCAGCAATGGCAGGATGAAGGCGAGACATGACGGTTCAGCGTGTTATTGTTTTAGTAAACAGCTGCATGACTCTGAACCCAGTCTCCCTTCAAATGTTCCTGTATCAATGTCTGTTGTTGGTGGTTTATTTTAAATGAAAACACTGAATGCAATGTTGATGTTACAGTTAAACCGACTGTCATGCAAATGCAGCTGAAAACTGTATTGATTGAACTGTATGATCTATATTGTCTTCTGGGATTTTTATGTGATGTTATACGTAAAATTTATTTTTCTTCCTGGTTTTACAAACTGTACTGTAAGTTCACATTAACTGTGTCTGCTGAGTGAAGCGAACATACAGTACAGACCATAGTTAGTCGTTCTAATAATCATATCATCTGAAACCCCAAGTAGTCACACACAAAATATTGTTATTAATTATTATTAACAAGTAAAAATACTGTGACATTTGATCACCTCTATGTGTAACTGATCAGGAGGACTTTGGTACGTATTTAAGTATGTGTATGCTGTGCGTGCACCGCACCTCATCTGCTGCAGGGCTCGTCCGGGGTTGGCGCCCATGCGGTCCAGCTTGTTGATGAAGGTGAGGAAGGGGACGTTGTAGCGTTTCATCTGCCTGTTCACCGTCATGGTCTGACACTGAACTCCTCCCACTGCACACAGCACCAGCACGGCTCCGTCCAGCACGCGCAGCGCTCGCTCCACTTCGATGGTAAAGTCCACGTGACCTGGAGAAACCGCAGGGACGCTGACACTTTGAAAAAATACATATACTGCAAACATTAAAAAAGCAACACTTCTGGAGTTGGCAAGGATTCATAATTTTGGCCACTTCAGAATGGCCGACCTTTGATGACATGGTGGCTAGAACCTGCACAATCCGCAAAGAAAGTGATTTACCAAATAATTACATCACTTTAAATACTAACAACCATAGCACAAGCTGTCGGTGTCCAGGTATGCACAGATACCCTGAGCACAAGCATGGATCTAACTAATTATAATTTCATCTGTTACAGCAATTGAGTAAGTTTGTCTGTTCTTTTACTTTACAAGCATTTTAAAGTGTTTTTTGTAGGGATGTTTTCTGCCATTATTAACCAGAATTAGCAAAAAACTCAAACTGGGAATGTTGCAATTACAGCAACACCAGGACACCTCACTTTCTGCAGTATTGCTTACTAAGTATGTGTACACATAGATGCAATTTGCTCTCAGGGTAGTTAAACACAGTTCCAGGAACAATTTACATAGTCAGTAATTACACTTTTACCTGAGTAATTTGTGCATTTAACTGCAATTGCACAGTCATTACAATGCAGAAATGTTTACAGCTTAATATTTCCTTTTTTAAAAGTTTCTACTATTAATTATGCTAATTATTAACTTATGCTATATGCAAATAAAATGTTGATGAAATCTAATCGGCTCTGGTGCATTTATACATTGTAATACTTCCACACCATAATTGTAAATTATTTGATCAACTAACCACAAGTCAGTGTGTTGATGACTACTACACCACAAAGATAAGAAGATTCAACTTTTGCTCGCTTGCTTCGAAGTCCTACATGAAATCATACATTATCTGGTTTCAGTGCCAAACTCACAAGTGTCTCCTTATTTGAACATACGATGCACCACTAAAGCATGATATCACCTGATGGGCGCGGGCCTTAAGGGGGCTCTCAACTGATTCTACACATCATAATCAGAAATCATAATCAGAAATACTTTATTGATCCCAGAGCAGAAATTCTTTATTACAAATGCTTATTTTGCACATCAAGATATTATAGAATAAGTAGAAAATATAACAAAATAAATAGAAAATGTAACAAAATATACAAATCAAAGTATGGATATGTGTGGATATGTGCAGTATTTTACAGTACTAACTGAAGTGTAATGATAAAAAGTAGTACTAAATTAGTAACAGTAATAATGATTGCATGTAGAGTTGACATGGAATGGATACAAATCTAAAATCTAAATATAACGAGGACATGGTCAGTTTGCTCTCTGTGCTGACGTCTGAGACACAAACCTTATTCAGTTCATTATCAGGGTTATCTTGGACTGAGCTTGAAGACTACACATTTGTACCCAAGAGCCTGCGTTACAAACTGGGGGCATTTGGTTTGAAGGACATGGGCATTTACAGGACAGGTAGGGTCTATAAGTAGACATGATCCAGTTGCATCAGTGGAAATGTATGATCCAAACTAAGTACTAAAGATTAGAGTACTCAATGTACAATGTTTTGACCGTTCATTTGTCCCTCATAAGTCCCCAAACTTTACAAAAGTGCAATACCCCAGTACTCCTAGTGGGTCCTGCATTATTACCTATTTGTACCCACCCAGATTACCACAAACAGGGGGCTCAATAGTACAACTTTTCATACCTGGGGTGTCAATGATGTTGATATTGTGATTCTTCCACATGGTATATGTAGCAGCTGACTGGATGGTGATGCCTCTCTGTCTCTCCAGCTCCATAGAGTCCATGGTGGCTCCAACACCGTCCTTCCCCTTCACCTGCACCCCAATGGAGGGAAAAACAGCTGTGTCTACACCTGTAAAGCTCACCTGACAGCAAGAGCTAGAATCATTCATACACACAGGTACAGTGTGTCCCTACGCTCACCTCGTGAATCTCTGTTATCCTGCCGGTGTAATAGAGGACACGCTCGGTCAGGGTGGTCTTCCCCGAGTCGATGTGAGCTGAGATCCCGATGTTGCGGATCCTCTCGTTGGGAAAGACCCCAGAGGAGCACGTCCGACAGCTGTTGATGAGCACCTGTGTCCATGAAACAAGAGAAAGATCGATATTCAACCCTTCTTTCTGTCTGTTTACCGATTGGGAAATGCAAAAAGAACTGACGGCAGAAGGGAGAGTATGAGGTTTGATTGATCCAGAAACTGCAGATACCTCAGGTCACCAAATGTTACCTTTTTAAGAGTGACGCTTCCTGGTGCCAAAACATGCGTCTTTGCCAAAGACAAACCCGCTTTTAGTACTCTCATTTTGACAACTACTTGGTCGGGCACAGGGTGGTCGTAGTCCTCCTTTTACACAACCCCCCGACTCTGACAACCCGGTGAATGTCACGCCGGGGCCCTGATGGTTGTGAAACGCTACTTCCGCATCTACGGAAACGCCGATGCGCCAAAATTACAAATGTTTGCGCTTATTGAAAATACACTATGCTACTTTTAAAAGAAGCATAGTGTACCAAATACAACATAGTTTGTGAGTGATATGGATGTTTGTAAAGTAAAAATCAAGCAAACCACAGAAAACGCGCATGCACAAAATAGGTACATGCTGCATTTAAGTGCTGTGAGATAAAGCTAAACTGATTAAAGCCACCAGCAATTTAAAATGTATTGTGGGATTGATCCAATGCAGAAATTAGTAAATTGAAAATGTTATGAATAAGTTGTGTAAAACATATCAATGAAACATTAAATTGTAAAATAATTTAAGGAATCATTAAACCTCATTGCAAATAAATGTTTTATTTTTACTTTACCAAACCTCAGCCTTTTTACACTGTCTTTAATTAATTCTATAACTTTTTTTTTCATAATGTCCCTTTAATTTCATAATGTTACTTTTCACAATTTCACTTATTTCATTTCACGTTTCACAATGTCACTTCTGATAATGTCACTTTCATTTCACAATGCCACTTTTCATTTTAGTGATGGTCACCGCTCACAAACCCCACATCTTTCAGCCACATGCCCCAGTTGCCTCTGTTCAAGACTTTTACCAATTTAGCAAATTAGCTCATGTTAGCTCAACCAATGTCAAAGCAATTCAAAATCATGAGGCTGCTGCTGTTAATAAAACATTGCACAGATAGTAATTAGGTTATTCTCGTCTTTTATTTAGCTTGTCAAGCTGCTCATGCTACCTAGCTTGCTCACTGAATGGCTCGGTTGTGAGCTTGGATTATTAATCAGCATTAAAGTGAAGAGACAGTGTTAGCAGTGTTAGCTGGTTCCCGTCGGCTATGCTCAGCACCAGGGTTGGCTGAAAGGTGAGGGGTTGGTGACTGGTTGTCACGATCCTGTCCTGAGTTTCTCTGTGTCCTGTATCTTGATTCTTGATTCTCTGTTTCTAGGTTTTGGTTTTGTTTCTGCATTTTAGTCCTGTCATCTGTTCTGTACATTAGTTCTATGTGAGTTTTATTTATTGGTCTGTTCGGTATCTGTTATTTAGTCTGTGTTTTGGTTTAATCTCTTGAGTTCTACTGTTTCAACTTGTTTATTCTTGTGAGGATTGTTGTGTTAGTTCTCATTCTGTTTTCTTCTCTTACTTCTTAGTCCTGTGTTTTAGTTCTGTGTCTTAGTTCCTGTGTTTTCTTGTTTCAGTCTGTTTTCCATGTTATGTGATAGTCCATCTGTATTAGTTAGTAGTCTATGCCGTGCCTTTAGTGCCGTTTAGTCTGTTTCCTGTCTAGTTTGGTTTTGATCCGTGCCTGCCTTAGTTCCTGTCTCTTTCTGTTATTATCTGGTGTTTGTTTCATGCTTGGTTTCTGTCTGCCTGTTGCGTAGTGTTACTTGTGATATTTGCCTGATTAGTTGCTCATCTGTTTATGATCTTTCTGTGTTATCTTCTTCTGTTCTGATCAGTTATCTTAGTCCGTTCTGTTTTGTGGAGTTGCCTGTGTTTTTCAGTTATTTGGTCTGTCTTGTCTGTTTTGGGCTCCAGTTGGATTCTTGCCTTGTGTTTTGCAACCTGTTAGTGTCTGTTTTCCCCTGCTGTCTCTCTGCCTGCCTGTGTCCGTCTGCTGTTGCTGGTTCGTTGTATATCTTCTCGCCGTGTGTCTGCCTGTTATCCGTCTGTTCCTGATCCCTGTTGCTTGTTGGAGTGTTACCTGTTGGATTGTTTTGGAGTTTGGTTTCTGTTCCATTGACAGTATTTTTGTTGCTTGTTTTGGATTACCCTTGTTTGTGGACTACCATTGTTTAATTTTGGACACTGCTGTAAGTTTTGATAGCTTTAATAAATACTCAGAAACTGTACCTGTGTCATGGGTTTGGGTCCAAAAACCTGTTCCAGCCTGAAAACACAGCAAAGTGTGACACTAGTAACAACACCACTGCTATGAAGAGTGACATTATGAAGTAAAATGTGACATGGGATAAAAGTGTCATTGGGGAAAATGCCATATAAAAACAGACTTTGAAAGAGTGCATTTTGAAATTAAAATTAAAATGAACTCAAATAAAATGCCGTTATCATGAAAACAAGTGTCATTAAATAACATTTCATAATGAGACTATTCTTTACAAAATCCAATAGCATTAAACAAATTATTAATGTATGTAGGCCTATATATTTTGAACAATTTAACAAACAATTGGGCGTTTATTTATTTATTTAATAGGCTATTGAACTGTTTGGGGCTCCATCATTCTGACACTCCTTGAAGTGACTTGATTTTTAAAAAAATATCATTTTGGGGAGTTTTCCCCCCAAAAGTGCAACATTTGCTGACATTTGATTCAAACAGTCTTAACAGTACCTTGTTTATATTTTTAACAGAGTAAAAATAAAACATTGCTCATTTACAATGAATAAATTTTATTTATTTCAAAACACTTCCGTAACCGACCAAGCTTGGACATTTCAAGGAGCATTTGAAGGCAGCACTTGATAAATCCACTCTGATGTCAGGTGCCGTCTATGTTCAGGATGTGTTAGACTAGACACAGTGTTAAACTGTCGGCTTGTAATTTGGGCATTCACATTTTGCTCAATTACTAATTGTTTCGCTCACTTCCTCAATACTTTATTTATGGACAAATTCGTGTTTTAACATCATTTAATCTGAGATGAGCTAAAGTTAGTGCTGTCACTTTTTGAAGTATCAGAGCCACGTTAGCTAACTAGACCCGCCCTTGTTTTGTCAAGCTTTTTCCTCTTTCACTTTAACCACATGCTGATACTACACTGCAAACAACAGCACTGCACACTGCAGCTTAACAGTTAGCCGCAGGCACATCCCCTTTCCACCCTTCTGTAAAAGTTAAACCTCCGCATCACTGCCAGCCTTTAACAGCTGCTTCAGGATCTCTCTGGTAAGTTTGGGCTATTTGTTTTATGATTTTACCTCCAAAGCCACAGTTTATTGTTGTTTATTTTAAATCACAGTAATAAAGAAATCTAGTATATTTTTTTAGTCTTTTGCCAGTTTAAAGTCAGCTTTAGGAAGTTCTGTGTATTGTTTTGCGTCTCTATATTGCCACCTAGGATTGAAATGTCACTAAATTTGCACATATAGGAAAAAAAGTTTCCACCTGAAATTCATCAGGCAACCCTTTTCTAATTGTTTGTCTCTCAAAACAAATGTCTCAGTGATAACTAAGCCTACCATTCCTGCAGAGTGGCTGTTATTTTCTTTAGAGATAATGTATATATTTAGTATAATAATAAGTGTTTTCCACTAGGCCTACATAGTGTGTCCTCCTGATTACATACTGATGCCAGAAATAGAGAGTAGATATTCATAACGGATGACTCCTATGAATGTCATTTAATCAGTGATTTATATATTTGCCAAGGGCTGACCATCTTCCCATAAAGCATGTGTCACAGTTTGACTGTGTGTGGATGGGTGCGTGTGTGCGTACACTTAATTTTAAAATAATCAATTCAATGTCCGCATGGCAGAAGGTTCTTTATCCTTCACCTTGATGTGAGTCATTATGTAAGATTATTTATGATTGCAATTACACAAGATGTACCCGAATGTGTGTGTGGGGTTCACTATGAGCTGTTCTTTCCATTGTTATCCTTCCTGTCTCATTTCCTTTCTGTGCTCATTCCTTTCTGACACCAACGTTAAATGACAGTGAATAACAGCAGCTCACTGTGTCTAATGTAAAATGCTTGGAATGTGTATTTTAAAATAGGGGTATTTCACATTTTGTGATACTGTGACATTTGTACATGGTAAAATATTGATGTGAAAACGTGAAGTGAATGCTAGAATGTGGCTGCATAGAGGAATGTATAATGTGTCTTAAAGGTTTCCAGTTTTCACCATCAATCAGGACCAAACATAGAAATTGAAACCCACATACTGTTTGTATGTGCTGTGTTTTGCAAGACGTTTAATAACTGATTAAGGGTTAAAGGAATTTGCTGGTTCCAGCTTCTTAAGTGTGAGGATTTACTTTTTTAAATAATATATTTGTATGTTGAGTATATTGTGGTTTTGGACTGTGGGTCAAACAAAACAAGCAGCATCACCTGATGACATCACCTTAAGGCTAGGGCTCGGTGATATGGCCAAAAATGTTATCACAATAAAATATTTCATATCATCTATATTATGATAAATGTCATCATTATTTCTTTCAAGTTTAAAGCAGACTGTTAATTGTGGTTTTAAACTATTCCTTATGGTCAGAACATTAATGCCAAACACTGGATCCCTTAATAAATCTGAGGTAGAACATTCAAAACAATTATGATAAAAATCTCTTTTATTTTTATTTTTTATTTTGTACAAAATATGCATGGGTAAAATCTTTTCCGTCCCTTTTTCTTCTCATTCATTCTTGATTCTAATTAGTTTAATCAAACATTTCTTCTATTTTCTATATCATCTTCTTTACCCAACAATTAATCAATGATTTTAACAAATAAGTGAAAGTCTATGCTGAATCGATAATAAAAATAACCCCTTGTTGCAGTGTTCTGAAGTAAAGGATAGTGTCTGTGTATTTGAGTCAACATGTCTTCTACAGTTTAAATTGGACTTGTTAATGATTTGTTGTACTCATTAGTGAGCAGACAGCTTTTTGTGTTGACCATATTTTATGCCCACTGAAACTAGGCTACACTTTACAGATATGAAAATGCTGTAGTGACACTTGGTACTGTAGTGATAATACTTGGACAAGGCTATGTTGTCCAGTCACAGGAGGGCAGTATTACTATGACTAACTCTGGCGAAACTGTGTCTGAACCTCCATGAAACCTTGAATTTCTTTGCACTCAGTTGTTTGTACTGTAAGATTTAAATCGCTCCTGCTGTCAAATGTTCCTGCGAATATCTTACTGCCAGTGAAATGTATTTTAATTTCCCCTGCCACTTTTGTTTTGCCTGGAAATAAGATCTGAATTTCAGCACTGATAAATCACAGACTAATTGGCATTCTTGAGCCAGACACATGTAGGCCTACATGATTAATGACAGCCAGTGTTCACTGGGGCTATTGAGAACCTGTGCAGGTGCTTTATGTGTGCTGTTAAAGATTATATTATCAGTCTGATTAAAAAACTTGAAGGTAAGGGAGGGTGTATTGTTATAGTATGATATTGCTCATGCAGTCAGTGTGTTTACTAAATCATTCATCATCTGTTTGTTCCCACAGATATGAGCAGTTCCGACGTGGGAAAAAGGCATGGAGCAATTTAAGATTCCTCAGGCTTAATAAAGGGATTATGTGACTAATGGCTACGTTGTAGGAGTCACGGTTAAAGTGGTGTGAATTATTTTCAAACCCAACCACGGAGGGTGTGTCTGGATCACTGTTAATACTACTACGGTATGCGGGATGGGCCAAACTCGTTCGAATCTCTCGCATACCACCGCCACCACCCGAAGCAGAGCGATATGGAAAGCAGGCGAGGCTGCCCCGCGGCTCCGTATCCGCAGATTTACTAGCGGAGAAGTGCGGCGGAGTGACCAGTTAAACAGGAATCCGATGAAAAACAAAGTGCTGTCGTGTTTGGGAAGGAGAAAGCGAGACTCCAGCCAGACAGAAGCGGAGTTAGGTTGCGGAAACGGAGCCGCGGATACAGCGACGCGCCGCGATCACAGAGTAGGAAAGTTGCCGCGGGACGAGGTTGTGTCGGCGGTTCGGGAACAGGGAGCATCCCCGGGTTGTTTTGAGACACCATCCGGCCTAGGTGATCATGCCGAGGTTACCCAACACGCCGTGAACCGACAGGCGGCGGCTGGTTCATCCGATGCGTCACGTTTGGAAACGCGTACCGGAGAAGTCAGCGGTGCGGGCTGCGAGGAGCCGAAACCCGGGCGAGAAAACGATGCCTCGGAACCCCCGACGAGGGCCATGGAAGATCAGCCACCAGGGGGGAAATGTGTTGTGTCTGCGGGCAGGGAATTAACGGGGGCTAGTCTGCGTTCAGACCCGCTGCTCACCCCTGACCGGGACACTGAGCGGACTCTGTCGAGCGTGCCCCCAGGTTTGCATAGTGGACGTCGATACTGGACGATTACGCGGAGGCTAACATGACTAAATCTGACTGTTGTACCGTTTCTTGTGCGCCCAAAGCTACCGGTGTCCAAGACAACTGTTGCGCGGATGAAACTGAGATCCGGAAGGACTCTGATCGGGGCCCCCCAGGAGCCCAAAGTTTCCCGGGAACCATACCGAAACTCATCATAACCAGAGACCCCAGTCCGACCCGCTCTCAGGGGACACCGGCCCTGCTGACCGTCCGAACAGACCTCAGCACCGGGTTGTGCCTGGACCCTCACCCAGATGACGAGTCTCCCTGCTCGGACAGCGGCTGCGGAGGGTCCCCCGCGCTGATGCGCTCCCCGAGGAAGCTCTCCAACTCCTCCTCCATCGGCCTGTCCTCCGCCTCGTCCTTCGAGGAGTCCGAGGACGACTTCACAGGCAGCGACATCGAGTCCAGTCTGTCTCCGAGCCGGTCCCTGTGTAGCCCGGATGATGGGACAGGGGTGAGTGTCTTTTAAAGTGTTTGTCCACAACAAGCCATTGGTTAACATTGTCTGTGCATTTCAGTATCTATAAACACTCACATGCTGTTTTTTGTTTATATTTATGATTTGCCAACTTTTCTCTGGACAAAAATCATAAACGGACTACTGCTTTGGCTACCAAAAATATTGTGCAATAGGACATATATCATGGCTGACAGTAAGTGCTGGAGGGTCATTCCCCACCTGAGCAAATCCTGGCATCAGGATCAGGCCAAAATACTACACAGCCACTAAATAAGTGGTTTGAGGAAAACTATGGAAAATAATGGATGTTTACATACAAACCCATACACACAGACAGTACTCATGTCAAGAACTTATATCCTGCAAGTTATCAGATAGCTCAGAAGAGCACATGTCTATTTCCATATTTACACTCTGGACAGTGACCTCAGCCTCTGTCAGTAGATATGGGCTCCCAGATGTCATCTTTGTCACACTGCTGTTGGTCAAAGTCACCGGGCTGAAGTGCATGTCAAAGGTTAGATTTGTAAAAGCTGTTCAAAATTTGTCACATTGATATTTTGAGGCGGTTGACTCCTAGGATATGATGACCCTTGAAGTGCTGTTGTGTTACACAGTGTGTGGCTCACGTGGTTTTGGTGGATCTCTGTTTTGTTTTAAATTACAAGAAAATATATGTGGTTCAAAGCGTTAATGGTTGAACTCACACCACCCTGACAATAAAACCAGACTGTAACAAATTTAAACCAAAGAAGAGGAAACTGGCTCTTATCTCCAACCCCCACTTCTGAGTGCCTCTCCTCCCTTGGGTCATGATCACATATTGACAAGCTCAGACGTAGGACCATTTAAAACACTGTCTGAATGCATGTTTGACTGATGTGTCATCCCATTACAGTCACCACTTCAGTGCTGTACAGTTCATAAACAATTAGACATGTACTATCGGCGCAATCTAGAAGTTAGTTTACTAGCCCCTGAGGATAAGGGTTTTCCTCTCCTCCAGACATGAGATGGCCTTTAAAGTTTCCAAGTAGGAATTTGTCATGTCCCCCCCCCCACCCGAGTCAGGAGGCTTTGATGTACCATTCAAATGCTTGGCATGAGACATGTCTTAAAAACAGGATGTCTCCACTGGACACGGTTTATCACTGTCTCCACCTTTTGTTCTCAGCAGCGTGTGAATCCTGTATCTCCAGGTTTTCTGCTCAGGCCACGTCACCAAGCATGAATGTTGAAAGATGTTCAGCTGTTAGCATGCCATTCATATTACGCTGCCCATAACTTAGAAACCTGCTTGAAGTTGTACTCATTTATTTATCAGTGATCTAGCCCCCCCAGTTATTTTTCCACAGCAGACGGTCCACCCTCGTCTGGTGTTTTCTTTCCTTTTTCCAGAGAATGAGAAAGACATTACCCAGCCCCATCTTTAACACTTTTAACCACATTTATACTTTATTTATTTCTGCAGGGACAATACACTTTGAATAACATCACTGTAACTGTGCAAATGTTACACATAAGGTTTATTTTCAATTGTTGTGCTTTGACCAGATGATAAATTAGCCTATAAAACAAACATGTAAAATACTAACACGAGAAAGGTGTGTGTGTGTATGTGTGTGTGTGTATGTATGTATGTATGTATATATATATATATATATATATATATATATATATATATATATATATATATATATATATATATATATATATATATATCACATGTCAACAAGAAATGGTAACAGAAATACACAATTCTAGAAGCTCAGCTTCATTGCCTTAGTGTCATGTTAGTCCAACCAGTGTAGCTAAAGTATAAATCAAACATAAACATCTTAGTCAGTCTTTAGTCACATTTCTCCACACCGCAAACTTAGCAACAATTGGCTCCCAGTTACAGTAATGATCATTCGAATCAGCAGGTCAGTGGACAATGTAATTTCCTGGCTATTACACAGACAGCCGGGAAATGAGCAAACTGAGGAGTTGCACTTGAGCCGTTGTAACAAACAAGATGTGCCTGTGGTTTCTGATAATAGCTGGGGTTTAATGGGCATGCGTCTGTGTCCTCTTGTAGTTGAGCAAAAGCTCTGTTGTTAGTCCTCTGCACAGTAATTAACAGGAAGACGCTGTGTGTTTGTTACTGGCTTTAGAAGGCCGCGGCCACCCTGTCAGCTCCCAGTCAAACGGGGTACATTTTTTGCACTCTGTGACACGGGCAGATACTTGCTCAAACATGCATACTCAGAGACACACACACCTGCAGCGATGCCGTCTTTCATTCAGAGTTAAGTGTGTGTCATGGAAAATTGTGCTGAAGGCAGAGCCAGTTGCTATGCGACATCATTGCCATATATGGGACTTTTTTTCTCTCCATGTCTTGCTGTCTCTCTCTCTCCTTTTCATACAGACAGTATCTACTCTGTCCCTGACATTTCAATGTTTGATGTGAATTCCTACAAATGTCTGCTCGGCCAGCAATGCATATATTATATTATTTTAACTTATTATCAGGTGACTCCCCTCCCATATGACACACTCTTTCTCCCCCCACACTCGGGCCTTGCACAAAAGCGTAATATTTTGCCCCGAAACACCATGAGACATACAATGGAACAGCAAACGAGAGGAAAATTAGTGGAGTCAGACAAAAAACATAGACTGAAACTTTGAACACGTAGCCTACACGTGATGATGATTCCTCTTATTTATGCATGCTTATTCACATGAGCCACAATTGCAGACTTGTTTTCCGTGGCACCCATTATGCAAAGTCCCACACACCACTCCCACAGCACTTACACACAAAACCCGTGGTACAAAGCAAAAAATACAAAAGAAAGAAGTCCATTCTTTTTGTTTAGATCCACATTTCTATTTATAATCTACATTATTTTTTACAGACAATATCATCAACACAGTTAACTCAGTTACATTATGTCACTGACAATAAAAAGCTACACTCAACATTAACTTTACAAATTGGAATGACATGCAGTGGTGGAGGGAGTATTCAGAGTAAAAGTACTAATACCAGACTGGGAAAATACAAAAGTCCTGCATTCAAAATGTTACTTAAGTAAAAGTATGTAAGTAACATAAGCAAAAGGTACTTGTATCGAAAGTAAAAGTGCTCAATGCAGAACATAGACCGTGTGTTACACTATCATGTAGTTTATTATTGGAATGTTATTATGTTAATACTGACGATGAGCCTTTGGTTGAGATGGAGCTAAATGTAACCATTTTATACACAGTAGGATAGTTTAATATGCAATATATCTTATTGAATTGTGTTTTGTGTGGAAAACCTATTGAAATGACTAGTAACAAGTTAAAAAAGTACAATATTTTCCTTTGATTTAGTATAGAGTAGCATGCAATGGAAACACACCTCAAATTTGTACTTAAGTGTGGTACTTGAGTAAATCTACTCAGCTACATTTCACCACTGAAAAACACATTGGACGATCTGGAAGTTTTCCAAATACCTTTTGAGATACCTCACCTTTCAGATAAACTGTGTGCCTTTATGAACATGAGATAGCTCTCTTACTACTTAAGCTAAATAAAAAAATAAATAAAAAGACATTGGGTTTAGTTAAAAATAACAACTGCAACTTAAAAATATTTTCATTATTGAATAATCAATTTCAATGAATGAGTTCATCTATAAATAATACTAAAAAATATAACATCATGAAATGTTTCGTCTGACCATGGGTCTAAAATCCAAAAAATATTCGATTTACAGTGATCTAAAAGAGTGAACGGCAGCAAATCCTCACATTGGAGAGGATTTAACCAGCACATATCTTGAGTTTGTCCTTGATAAATGACAAAAACGTTTACTCGATTATCAACATTGCAGAGAAAACAAATAGTACTATAATATCCAGTGCTATCATTGTGTAATTTTATTTTAAGTCTCTTTTCTGAAGATGGTTATTTTAAAGCTGGGCCATATTCTGTACGTTCAGTGGCACACAACAGCTGGGCTGTTTGAACACTAAAGAGTCAGGGGAAAGGGATGTGGTTTCATATAAACTAGGTTTGAAAAAAGAGCTCCCATAGTACCAGTACACCCTGTTGTGTATACATATGTAGTCACTCCAGTAGCTGATAAGAGTCGTCTGACAGGTTCTGCTTTGTCTTCAGTATCCACACACACACACACACACACACAAACATGCAGGTTACATAGCACAGAGGAATTCATCATGCAGGCAAAAGGAGATCACCGGGGAGGGTATGGGAAGGCCTGTTGTCCCTACCCCCATGCTGCCAGTCAGACATGACTCTGGCAGGAGATTGGCTCAGCGTGGGGCTCAGGATAGGCCCTGTGGGGATTAGGGGATGAGACGGAGAGAGGAGAAGAACAAAGGTTATTAGACTGAAGAGCTCATTGTGCGAAGGCTCATGCCTTCGGGGAGAGAGGAGGAATGATTTAGGGCGAGGACGTAAAAGGAAAGGGGGCTAGTTCAAGCAGGCCGATGATAGAAAGACAGAGGAAATGACAGCTTTTTGTTGGCGGGGAGGTGGATATGCTTGATGACAGCAAAGAAGATACAAAGTATTGAGAAAGTTTTAAGAGAGGGCGGGAGCAGTGACAAGATGTTGAAACAAGAGAAATTGTAAATTGGGAAAAGAGACTTAGAGAAGAAGAAGAAGGGGGTCAGTGTGAGAAATATGTGTGAGCTTATAACACCGGATTATTTACCAGGCAACATAAGCCAGTTTACAGCAAGGCTTTACAGACTAACTGAAGCTAAATAACTGAAATAAGACAGAGCTTTAGCTAGGAGCTAACATTAGTCTCGGTTAAAGAAGGTTATAGATGATTGGGAAAGATCTCAGGTTGGCAGGGGGGCCCTCGTCCCTGGTTGTGCTTGCCCTTGGAGACCCTGTGCTGATGGTGCGGAGTATTTTGTACTGGCTGCGTTCCCGGTGTGTCTCAGGGGTCGTGTGCGCTTGTGTCAGCGCCTGCCTCCTCCTACACTACTGCTCTGTCTGCCAGGTAAAAAATGGAAAGTGGCAAATTTATCAGATTTAAATTCAGCCTGCCATATCCCTCGGACTGCTGAATATATCTGCTAACGTCACGCGTGTTTAGAAACGTGATATGAGGTTGATTTTTATCAAATGCAGGTTGACAGGTTTAGGTATTCAAATGTAATGCAGCCCAGTCTCTTTTTGTTGTTATGTGACGGCTGTTTAGCACACAGCATGCAGTTAGTCCTGTGTAGCTGTGAAGATCTCTCTATCTGGGTTAAGAAGCAAACCAGCAGGATCTGGTTCAGGACTTTAATTTTGTTACTTTCATTTAACAAACACACTCAGTTTCCAGCTTATTAGTTAAGTACACCTAGTTAAAACTAATGCTGTGTTGAAGTGTTTGTTAGATTTTGTCAACCTCTCCCTTATAATTGAAGGTAGAAATATATTCTAAAACAGTTTAATCAAAAACTGTCCATTGTCCATCATGAAGGGAGGATTTATTGCAGGACTGTTGTATTAGACTGTGTTCGCTTTAGCTAGCTAATAAACTGGCAACTGAGTGTAGTTGTCTTTTCCTTTTCATCTGACCTGCCAGCTGAACAAGCTGTACATTAGATGAATTGCAGAGGACTGTGCCTATAACCCCATCCTCCAAGTATAGTGGAGTTTATTCTGTCCTGCCAAGAATAATGAAAACTAACTTAGAAGAAGTCGTTTCCACTGGATTTATGTTTAGCTGTCAAGTAACTAAGTAAATAGTTTGATAAATAACCTTCAAGTAATGGATGTTATTGAAAACTAAGCAGATAACTAAATACTTTTCAAAATGGTTTCAAAATCACTTGTTCAGTGATTCTTATTTTTTCAATGTGTGCGTGAAGGGGCTTATGTGTTGGGTGAGGAAGGGGGAGGCTGTACACACGTATTCTTGTGATCAGTGTTATTTCTTTGAGTACTACTATTGTTTTTATCATGTGAACCACGAGAGGTGTGGGTGTGTGCAGGTGTGTTGCTTTATAACCTGCATCGAGAGACATTATCCTGCAACCCACGAACAGTAGTGGGACTTTACTTTTTGGGGGGGCAAAAAAAAAACTTATTTGAGAAAGGCAGGTTGACAGAGCACATTCATCGGCATCAAAGCTTGGTGGAATAAAGAGGAAGCTTGGAAAACAAAGAAAGCTGACACAACCTCTGTTATATATTCGTGAGTTATATAAGAGAAAGCGGAGATGGTGAAGGTTGGACTGTGAGAGGTGAAATGTGACTTCAGTGTTTAAAAAGCTTGGATGTGTGGGATGGAGAGGCAGGAGGAGGCAGCACTATTTTTCTCAGTTTGAAATGAAAGTCCAGTCTTTTTTACATATTATCTGTAGGGATTCTCTGCATTTGTCATTTTTGAAAAACACCTCTGTATCCAGCAGAACATTAGCAGCATTAGCTGCGGCTGTGACTGGTAATTTTAGTCAGATACATTTGACCCCAGAGGGAAACGCATTAAGCTGTCAGCTTGAAGCAATTAGAGAGAGAGCCTGATGTCATGTGAGTAAGAGAAGTGAAAGAAGAGAGCTTTGAGATTTGGGTGTCCGCTTCACCTTCCTCTCCTGTCAGCCCCCCCCCCGACTTTCATCCGTCACTGCGGCCTCTTTCAGATGAGGACGAATTAAGTTAATAATAGCTGAATGAAAAGAAACTGAGGTTATATGAGGTCTGATGGGTAAACACAGTTTGTGTTTTGTCCACAAACTGATACTATTATCTCAGGAGTTTATTTTCGTACTACACTGTAAACGGTTTGTCTGTTTACAGTAACTACAGTATGTTGTTCCAGCAGGAAGGAAACATCAATATTTGGCAGTTTCACATAACCACAGAACATTTATAATGTAATGTGATCTGACTTAATATGAAGTTGACTGATATTTGCGTATAATCAAACACACCATGAAAGACAGATGTGCACCTCAAATTCAAATACACTGATCAAGGCTAGACAATGTTTCTGCTCAGATATTATCTTAAATGTCTAGTATGATCCTGTTACTTTAACAGAACTGATGGATAAACTATAAAATGACCTCTTGGTAAATATACAGTACATGCATGTATATTGTCTCCTCTATTCAGAGGAGAAGGTGAGGAGAGCGGAGTCCTCATGCAGTCTTTTACACTCTTGTGTTATGAGCTTTACATAACTGGTTCATAATAATCCCTTACAACAGCACTTTCGAGACCAACTTCTGGCGACAGTTTTACTGTACCGACTGGTGGAGTGTCTGAAAGGTGGGTGGCTTGTTGTGGTTTAAAGTTGTGTGTGTGTGTGGGGGGGTTGTTCTTCATCTGATATTTTTCCGCTCTGAATACACGGAAAAGAGGATACATACTGGAAACTCTAGGAAATGTTTAGTGTTTTGTTCCCCCTCAAGAGTATTTTCAGCCTCTCAATGGTTTAAAGTCAAGGTTGCCTTTGATATGATCAAAGAATTAAGCATCTTAGATTTATTGGGGTAAACTTGTAGGTAGAAAAATGCACAGAAAAAGTTGTTTGATACACAGCAAACTCTGTGTATGCAAGAATCCTTAAATAGGAGTCAATTTTTTTTTACATTAGACAGAATTCTCTTGTAGATTAGTCATGGAAAATGAGAATTGTGCAAGTTTTTCTTTTGTATGGAGCAGCAAAAAGGATGAGGTGTTATGTTGGAGGTGAGTTAATTTGACTTCATTGACATGGCACATCCTGCGATATGAGTATTATGCATGAGCACATTGCGATGACTATGCTGAAATGATATATTGTGCAGTCCTAAAAGGTACTGATGAAATCAGAAAAGGCACATGGTAGTCTTTACCCTAATAAGGCCAGAATTAGCCAGTAATGTCTGAGGGAAATTGTGGAAGGAAAATAGCATACCAAGAAATGGTGCTGCTTATTATAGAAAACGTGCTGAATTTGATGTAGAGCCGCTTCACGAAAGGGACTTGTGAAACATGGCATCACCCTATTTCACAAATTATTGTCACTGGCACATTGCAGATAGATTTGCAAGTCCTTCGAAGCACACGCACGGGTCACAAGTATTGCTTCTGGTTTGATTAGTGAAACGTCAAAGCGAGTGGGACACAATGATCTCATGTTGAAAATATCTGCTTCCATGTTGTAAATTTGATGAAATACTGTTGGTGTTCACATGTTTTCATCACCCGTCTTTGCCTTGAGACGGCAGAGGTTATGTCGGGGTTAATCTGTTGAAGGCTCAGGTCACAGGTGGTTAGTACTCACTCTCATTTTCTCTCCCTCTTGTCTCTCCTTGAAATCCTGACATTGACCAGCTGTCCGACAGTGCACAAAGCTGTTGTACAAGGTTTCCCATCACGAGGAGCTAACACAAGCACACAGCTGTTGTTTCCCTTCTTCATTTCAAAATCAAAAATTCAGGACTGTAGACACATTTGTAAAAATGTGTGTTATTAATGATGGCTGTGAAACAGAATCACTTGCACTTTTGTGTACATTGTGTTGTACAGTTTTCAAGAGGTAATGTTTTCAAATATTGAGGCACATAAAACCTACAATATCCTTTATGTTAAGTTATGATGGATTAGTAACCTCTTTATCCACAAGACAAACTATTCAATAAAAGCTGAAATAGAGGGTTCATCCAAAATGTAGATCTCATTAATGCTCTTTTTCTAACTGTAGTGGAAAATGAAAATTCCTCCATTAAGACTGTGTGTGTTTGTGTGTGTGTGTGTGTTTGTGTGTGTATTCCCGCATCAAGCCTGTTTTATTGTGACAGGGTTTCAACAGAGCAGCTGTGGAAAGAATGCCTGTGATGAGAGCAGAGACAGGCTGACATGTAAACATGGCAGAGATAGGCCCTGCAGGGCAGGGAGAAGCACAGGCATTCACAGGCGTGTTGTAAAAAGTTTAGTTTTATTATATTACAGCCTCTTGTCCCTGCATTTTATTACTCACATTAACCTCTTTTTGCATCTGTCACACCCCATTTTCTCATTCCGTTTTTTTTATCAGGTGGTATACATAAAAAGCATTGTAGGAATGATTAGAAAGACTCCAAATTGAGAAGGAGCCAAGAGTATTCAATATGCTGTTTGCCTCTCAGTAATATCTACTGCAATGTAACACACATACACACACACACATTCCCATCCTAAACTGGCTGTGGGTTTGTTGTGATTTCCCACACACATTCTAATCTATTAACATTATTGACATGTTCCCCTCAGATTGCTTGCGTCAAAGCCCCTGTTGCACACTGTCCTTGCTCTGGTGTTTCCCAACGCAGATAACCATTACACTTACACACACACACACACACACACACACACACACACACACACACACACACACACACACACACACACACACACACACACACACACACACACACACACAGTGAGACAGTGAGGTTCTGCTTTACGACACCACCCTGGTGGCTTTGGTAAATGTTTTATGAATGGGCTTTGTGTCACGTACATTGTGCACCTGGCCTTGGCTAAAGGGGAGGATATGTCCAATGTCTACTGAGGTGTGTGTGACAGTATGTGTGCACTACAGGGTGTGTTTTCCTTTAATGAATAATCAGTCTATTGGCTGGTATTTAGCTCAGTGCTTTGTTTGAGCAGAATCCCTCGTACTGATGACTCAGAGTTTCAGATTTATCATTTGACTTGTGAACCCTGCCTTTTTGTAGCAAGAGGATGACGTTGTTTGCCGTTTTTCTTTTTCCAGAATAAGTCCTGGCACAAATTGAAGACCATGGTTCACTGGTCCCCCTTTGTCGTGTCCTTCAAGAAACGTTACCCATGGGTGCAGCTAGCTGGCCATGCAGGTATACATGAGTTTACAGTTTACTACACTCTCCCTACGTGTGCATTATTTTATCTTCAGTCTTTAATCTTCATTGTGTCTGTCTCCTCCTCCAAGGTAACTTCCAGGCTGGGGAGTACGGACGCTTGTTGAAGCGATACTGTGAGTGTGAGCAGCAATGCCTACAGAAGCTGATGAAGGACACTCTGCAGCCCTATGTGCCAGGTTATTATGGTGTAGTACAGAGAGATGAGCAGGACTATAACCTGATGGATGACCTGCTGGCTGAGTTTGACTCACCCTCCATCATGGACTGTAAGATGGGCAGCAGGTAAGAATAGGGATGAGCCAAGGATGAAGAGAGCGTTAATGTGTGGGAGACATTTTCCAAGATCATATTTACAGCACAGACCATTTTATCAGAGCTTATTTTATTGCTTTTGGGAGATACAGTGAGCCTTGAAAATCAACCTTTATACACATATAAGCCATAATACAGTTTACTCCCACCAGTTCTCCGCCTCTCTTATCGTGTTTATATAATAATAATAATGGCTGTTTTTATGGTCAACAAAGTGCTTCACATGATTAAAAAGAGCATAGTAAGACATAAAAATAAAATATCAAGCTTTTTCTTTTCAGGACGTACTTGGAGGAGGAGCTGATAAAAGCCAGAGAGCGTCCACGTTTGCGGAAGGACATGTATGAGAAGATGGTCGCAGTGGACCCCGGGGCCCCCACCGAGCAGGAGAAGGCCCAGCAGGGAGTCCTCAAACCCAGATACATGCAGTGGAGGGAGACACTCAGCTCCACAGCCACCATGGGCTTCCGCATCGAAGGCATTAAGGTCAGAGGTCATCCTGTACTCCCAGCTCTATGAGCATGGCTTGCTGTAGTGTTCAGTGCTAGTGAGGAAACAAACTGTTTCTACAAGCAGTAAACCAATCATTGGGAGTAAATATATATTATCAGTCTATTCACTGGATGGACCACACATGCTGGAGTGAAAACGGAAAACAGAAGTTTTTGGCTGGATCTGCAGCCATAAAGGGATGTTTGTTCTTTCCAGATTTAATCCAGGGCTGGTTATCAGGTTACTCAGGCAAGAATGAAAAAATCTATACATGGAGAGAGGAACAAGACGTCTTATGTTTTCTTTTTTCTCCAGAAAGCTGATGGAACTTGTAACACCAACTTTAAGAAGACAAAGCACAGGGAGCAGGTGATGCGAGCCTTGGTGGACTTTGTAGATGGCAACACTCAGATTCTGGTAAGTTGCTAGTTCACTGCTAGTTTTTTGTAAATGCAAAACAGCATAGTTTTTTTTTTTTTTGGACATTCTGAGAAATATGCTTATTTGCTTTCTTGCCGAGTGTTAGATGAGAAGATTGATTCCACTCCATTTCTGATGTATTGCCTAGCAGCATTAACAACGTATATAAGACTTTTGACTGAGTTAAGTAGGAAAGAAGTTCATTTTGCTAAATCTTAATTTTTCTCTTTTTCTTAGAAGCTCTATCTGCAGCGATTGGAGGAACTCCGATCAGTCCTTGAGCAGTCACAGTTCTTCAAGTCACACGAGGTGAGACACATGCAAAAAATGATTTGTAAACAAACCTGTTGGCTGAGTTGAAGATTTGTGATATCATCCCGTCATTTGCTCCTGTGTTGAATTGCTCACGCACCTAATCTCACCCGTCTCACCGGTTTCTCCATCACAGGTCGTGGGCAGCTCTCTGCTGTTTGTGCACGATTCCTCGGGGAAGGCCAGAGTGTGGATGATCGACTTTGGGAAGACGGTTCCCCTGCCGGCCCCCCGGACCCTGGACCACAGGACTCCCTGGGTGGAGGGCAACAGGGAGGACGGTTACCTGTGGGGACTGGACAACCTCATAGACATCTTCAGCAATATGCTCCCAGAGACACCTTGAGAAGTAGAACAGCAGTAGAACATTAGTCCATGTCCTGATGGTGGAAGAGAAAACACAAACTGAGACTGACAGTGGAAGGATCAGAAGAGTTTGGTTACTTTTTTCATGATCCACGCCATGATCCAAGTGTCTTTATGCAATTGCACTTGGGTGAAAAGAAGGCAAATGAAGACAAGCGCAGGATTTCTATTGCAAAGAGGAATATGCCAAAGGCCGACATTATGCATTAATGGTCCATTTGTGGAACTTGTGGACAGATGACCTACGATAAGTTGAGGCAAAAAGTACAAAGTTTGTAACTTTTGTCACGTGAACCGTGGTTTATTTTGAGAGACTACAGTCCTCTGAATTCATGGACATGTTTTTTCTGCAACCATTTAGCATTGCTCATCTCCCTCGTCAAACACCCCACATAGCATTCTCACAGCCATGAACTTGATCCAGAGGTGTGAAACCTTGTAATGGGAGTTTTATTTTTGTCATGGACCGCTTTTTGAACAACACTAAAACACTGGTCAGACCACATGACTAACTCGATGTGTAAATACAATTTTATTTAATTTTTGTTTTTTGACCTTGATATAACCTCCTTACCTTGTTTGTACAATTTCTGTGCCTCGCAGTTTTTAAAGAAAGAGCTGTGTGATCATTCCAGTGCAGTGGACTTCCAAAGAGTTCACCCAAGAGTAAACTGATTCACATGTAATCCCAAAGTTTGACTTCTGGTAGAAACTGAGAAGTGTTTTCTAAATTTGGGTTTTTCTTTTTCATTCAATTACAGGGTAAGCAGCCTGGCAGCAAAGTTGGAGTTTGTTGCACTATGGATCCTCACAAAGCCATTGAACAAATCACCTCTGTGTGTTTTAAGATAGGAAGCAGCAGTCTATTGCTGGGTTTACAGATGCAGAGTTGTATAAGTTTAACATAAATTTAATTTGGTGTTATCACTTAACTATATTCAGTCAGTGTTGCTGTGGATTTGCAGGGTGTTTTTACAGTAAAGCAGTAGTGTAAAGGGTGAAATGAAACTGGAATTACCTGATTAAACTGATCAGTCTTAAGCCTTTTGTGAAGTTTTACATTTCTATCAACACACAATCTTAAAACTGGACGTTTTGAACGTTTCCTGTGATTGAATGGATGATGAATAATTGAATACAAGAATATCGAGGACATTTCTGTAAACTTCATTTAGTCAAACTAAGCAGGATTTGGGGTTTTAACTTCTGCATACAAAATAGAGTTTACAGAGGAACAGCATTGTTATATTTAGAAGTCAATGCTTACGATAATGTTGTTCCTTGACTGCAGCAGGTCTTCCAGACGTCCTTTGACAGTGTTGGCAGCACTGTTTGTAATTCAAATTCAGGCATTCAGTTTTTCCATTTCTGACAAGTAAACATACTGGAAGAGAGGAACAGGATCTAGCGTTTACAAAGTATCATAGTTCTTTTTCCTCAAATCCTTTATATTTGTAAAATCTCAAACTAACAGGGTGCTTCTTTTTAAGCAAGAAGGCTGGATTCTTTACCACATTTTGTATTTTAAAGTTGCAAAGCACAGACAGACTGCAAATTGATGTGAATTCCCTGCTTTGTCCAGGTCGTGGATTGCAATAAACTGGAAATAAGAGTTTGATTTCTTTTTCTCTCCAAACACACATCATACACCTCTGTAAATCTCAAACCTCAGTGTTTGTTTACTGAACATCCCAAAACATGTACAAGTAGGCCAGAATTTAAACAATTTATTGTATAAATATTTTCCATTCAGGCAGTGGTATAGCACCAAGAGGGGATGAAGATTCATCACATTGTAAATACAAGTCTCCATCAGAAACTGCACTCAGTTTTTCACATGAAATATAAGTAATGATGGGTCCTAGGGATAATTTTGTATTGCAATATCAGTGTATGTTCTGTAAATTCAGTTGGGAAGTGTTTAAAGATAACAACCAGATGGAAATTCACTTTTTTGTTCACCATACTGGTGCAACGACACAGTGAATCCAAATCACATCACGTACCCAGAACAGGATCCACAATTCGCTAATAGTCTCATTACTGTTATGTGAGGATTCCCAAACATTTTGAAGCCTATTTGAATTCATTAAAAGGGTCATGCAGATATTAGATTGTTCTACAATCCACAGTTGTACAAAACAAACTGGTTTAAATTGGTAAAACTTTGGTGTCAATCGCATTTCCCACGAGAGTTCACTGTGATGCCTCTCAACAGCTGCACTCTGTGGCCATTGTTTTCCAGACAGCGTCACATTCATTTTGCTTCTGTGTCCGCGTGTGGAGCAGCACCGCCTGTCCAGCCAGTCCGGCTCCCACCCCTCCTTGAGGAACCACATACTGGGTCCCGTCATTAGCCCTCTGAGGGTCCATCGCCCTCAGCTGCGCGTTGCTCTGAGCTACGCTGTCCAGACTCCACAGCTGGTAGCGCAGGCTTTTACCCTGCTTAGCCAAGATGTAAACCTCTTTAATTGCTGTGCCACCGACAGGGCAAGGAGAGCTACCGTCAACGGCGAGGCAGAGCCAGGGCAGAGTGGGATCGGGTTGAGTGTGCTGTTTGCTCACGCTCCCCTGGTCCAAGCCAAGGAGAACGCCTGAAACAAATGTATATGATGATTGCTGACTTTTTACATAAAGCAAGCAAGACCGTTCATAACGGTGGGTTTAAATAAGTGACCTAAGTTACCATGAGAAGTTATATGAGAACATCCCTCCAGTTAGCCTGGTCTTCTCCAAAGTTCCCCCTCAAAAAGATCAACCACATAACATACTACAACCAGTAGAGAACTTAAGTCTCTCAAAATACAAAGTATCTTCTTGTCCTGCAATAAAATAAATTACCTGGCTGGTGTCCTATTTGATACACAAGTTGTCTGACAGCATGTATGTAATACATACAAGTTGACCCAACGCAGGAGATGACTTAAGGTGTCAGCTTTTTTTATTTTTATTGTGGATTAACCTTAGCTCCAAACCAGCATTAGGAAATAGACTGTTCCTGGTTCAGTTTGTTAGGTTAATTCAAGACATGCTTTCTGAAACACCCTTGTGGTGAGCTATCCAGTCTTACCTGAGGCGACTGCCCAGTGCGCCCTGTGGCCACTACGCTGGCAAGGCTCATGGTTGTAGTCCTCATCATATCTGTAAACACTGTCAAAGAAGTTTGGCCTTTAATCATGAACCTTATATTTGGAACATATGTTTAAAAAAACATTTTTTCCTTCATAATACCCCTTGTGGCAATTTTGTTTGGATGTAGGATACGGGATGAGAACAGGCTGTCTCCCCCACAGGTGTGTGACGATGGTTGCAGCATTGTTACCATTTAAACCCCCTGACAGCAGTTCTGCCTCACAGCCACAAAGCTCTTCTGCCAGCAGGGCCATGTTGTCCGCTGACAAAATAAAATTTCAATGAGAACATAAAGAAGCCACCATAAACTGAACCCAGCATGAAATTGCATTTTAGTTGTGTATATACATAAAGAGTGAATTACTGCTAAAAAAACACATTTTATTAGCCAGGTGGTATAGCTTCCACATTTTTCTGGCGACACTCAGTGAAGGTATGTATTTTGCCTTTGGGAGGATTCAGTATTTTGGCATGCTGTCAGAAAACAAAATATACTAGGCCAAAAAAGTTTGTTACCTGAAAACATTTCACCCTGTGCCGTGTATCCCCTGCTCAGTGCTGTCTGAACAACAGTTTCCATGTCAATACTTAGCTGTGGCTGTCGAAGTTGAGCAGACATCCATAAAGCCACCAGGCCACACCTAAAAAGGTAAATTAAAAACGCAGTCACACCCTAGCAAATGTGTCATGTTTAATTCCTTAAACAGGCATTCATGTCAGACTAATAACACAAAAGCCCCATTGTACAAAAAACAGTTGTGGTTACGGTTTTATTTGTGTTATATATTATGAATGCTTTCTCAGTCAAATGATTGACCAGATTGGGGTGTTTCTTGGCTAGTATCATAGTTACTAACTTACTGTGGACCATCTTGGATGAGTGACGGCACATATGTGTTCACCAGTATCCACTGCAGGTCTTTCCTAAAACTGAAGCACAAAAAAAAACAACACACAGCATAACATAAACACACATTGTTCAACAGGCCCTTTTTTAAGGAAGACATCTTCACATGTCACAGTAGCAAAAGCCCAGCTGCAAATAATAAATAAATGATGTCTGACTTTTATTTAGTGGCTTTGGTTTCAGGGTCCTGGACACTTTAATACAACGGCAGAGCAATCATTAATGTTATTAGCAACAACTGGGGGATTCCAATTGTAACAGGTCAAAATGTCGGCACTGACAAAGACCCATAGATCCTTTGTTTGTGAAGATTATAATATTCTGTCTTTGTTGACTTTGTGTCTGAGAGACATTGATTCAACTAAATTTTTGAGGTTGTAATTAGCATTAATTCAGGATCACATTACCATATATTGAGAGGTGTTGCGAATATTCTGTCGACCTTAAATATGTAAAAGGGATGGGCAAAATATTAGGAACACCTTTCAATTTAAAGTAGTCCTGTAGGACAGCACTAGGGCTGCAACTAATGCTGTGTTCCAGGCAACTAGGAAATCAGACATTTCCAACCTCCAACTAGAAAAAGTACCATAGAACGCCACTTGAAGTCGGATTTCCTACTTGTGAACTCAGAGAAAAAATTTGTTTCCCCCGACTTCATGAGTAGCAGCTGAATGATGTCGCACAACAATGGCAGCTCCCGTGGAAGCACACACTCAACATAAACTAAAAGGCAACATAAAGTATATTTCCATGTATTGAAATTAAAATAATTCAAGCTATCTTATAGTAAAACCTGTTCTGCATGTAAATTGATGTAGAAATGTTTTGCCAATGTTATTAGGTAGTTGATACCAGTAAAGAATCTCTGAAAGTCATCTTCTCTACCCAAAGGTTGTACAGGAAAATGTTAAAAATGGCCAGAAATTTGAAAACATTTGGAAATGTAGCCTACAACTTTTGCTGACTTTTGAGGATTACCAACTGATGTAGCTAGAAGGATAAAGAGTAATGTATATTTATTGCTTGTTGTTAATAAAATGGCCACCCTTTTAATTAAAATCAAGTGCACTGCTGAGGGTTTAACTGTGCATAAACTTGACAAAGAAACATAAGTTTGTCACGGTCAGCCTGTTTATTTTTTACATTTGTTGTCATGCACCACCATGCAACTGAAACACTTCGAGGTCGGAAGTCGGATATTTCAACTTGGAAATTTCCCACTTCCGACCAGTCTGGAAAGCGCTATAAAGATTCACTTTCTAAATTGCTAGATTAACTTGATAAATTCATATTGTTAATATTGTCATATTGTATATACTGTATACCAAATCCACCTACCTCAAGTACATAACACCTGTACATAATACTTATTTCAGCATCCTTTGCACGCTGCTCCATCACACTGTGTAAATGTATGTGTACCTGTATATCACATCCACCTTTACCATGTACATAATAATAATAATAATAGTAATAACTTATTCCTGCATCCTTTGCGCTCTGCTCATTGCAATATTGTCTCAATCTTTTGTGTTCTCTATACTGTAGCCTGTGTTTGATTTAGTAAGTAAGCACATCATGAGCAATGTACACTCCAGAGTCAAATTCCTTGTATGTGTACAAATACCTGGCAAATAAAGCTGATTCTGATTAGGTGAAAAATGGCCATCACAATTTCCTAAAGGCCTAGGTGACTTCTTCAAACTGCTGGTTTGGGCCAATAAAAAATCTTAAGAAAATTACATCACAGCCTCACAACTGAGAAGTTGGAACCAAAGAATAGTTGGCATTCGTCCAAGAAAAATTATTTTCATGATAAATTAAATACAAGTTGGACATGGACATTATTGCCAGGCTTATCAGGATTTCACACAAGTAGCATGCGCAGAAATTAAACTGTTGTTAGAACTGCGGACATTATCAATATCCCGGACGAGGACAACTGTTTGTGGGCAAAATAATCAGATGTTTAGGTTAACTGTGCAAAAAAAAAAGTTGTCTTCTCTTTGTAAATCTAACCTGCTCTCCCTCTGACTGAGCAGTATGCGAGCCTCTGTGTGGTTCCCCTCTACAGGACTGCTGCTACTGGCTATAGTCTGATACAGCTTCTTCTTGGGTGGAGGAGGTGGTAGACCTGGAGCAGGTGGAGGTGGAGGAGGTGGAGGAGGTGGCGGTGACAGAGGGCATTCCACTGACATCTTTTCTGATCTCCTTTTGGATGAACCCTGACAGAAGTGGTAGCTTGGTTAGTATTTTGTGCATCCTTGCAAACAGAAAAGTTACAGCTACTCCTTTTGCCAAAACACTCGATAAACATACAACCTACCCGCCCCTCTTTCACTAACTCTCCTACCTACAACTTAGCTTAGTAGCTCTGTTGCCGACAAGAAAAACTCGGCGTTGAATGCTATTTGGGTGGAAATCGAAGTGAAGAAATCTTGTTAACAGTTATCGCTCACAAAAAGTAATAAGCTCGTCATATTTCATGCTTTAGATTCTACCCCCACTTCTTAGACTAGCACAGCTAGCTAACAGCAGCGGTGTGTTTTTTTACCCATATTTGGAAGCGTCTTCTTCGTGTTTACTGTCGGCTCATACCGCCCCCTACTGCATCTACTGACTATAAAGAATAAATACAGTGTATACTTCTATATTGGCACTAAATCGTATAAATATTGTCTGCGCATATGTCTCCGAGTAAAAGCGAAAGTTACCTGCCTAAGAAGCAGAAGAGACGATAAATTAATCTGAACAGGTGTTACACCACAGTCTGTAAACTGGGCTATAAAGCTATGGATGTATGACACTGGAAACATCGTTTCTTAACGCGAGAACAGAGAACGGGATTTGTGAAGGCCGGGGTTTTTGTTCATTATTCCGAGGTGAGTACTTCTTCCACATCGAGCTGAACAGTGAAATAAGTCGTTTCTTAACGTCTTCCAGATCTTTTGCAAACCATTTTTGGACTTAGGTACACTATGATGATGTTTTGTGACAGTGAGGGAAACCAGGCGTAAGCCATAGACCGATCTATTAAGTTAAAGTCGTAGCTAGTAGTTAGCTTTTAGGCTAACGTTTCCCCACGTTATTCAAGTTGAATGGTCGTTTGCTATCGTTAGCTAGCTAGCTAGCTAGTTCGCTCATAGATGTAGCTGCCTAGCAGCTTATCAAGAATTGTGTTAACTGGTTTAAAAGGAATATTTAAAGATGGGTTTTTTTTCCAACCACAGGTTTAAATATGGCTACTCCGGATGTACGGCTTAATCATACAATCTACATCAACAACTTGAATGAGAAAATTAAGAAAGATGGTAAGTTTGTCCTCATCATCTTCTAGCCTTAACTTTCTAAATGTGTGTTAAATACACACACCTCACAAAGGGCCTCTCGGATGACATGAATGTTTTCTCTCACTTTTGTGTTTCTGCAGAGTTGAAAAAGTCGCTGTACGCCATCTTCTCACAGTTCGGGCAGATTTTGGACATTTTGGTCGCACGGAACCTGAAGATGAAGGGTCAGGCCTTTGTTATTTTCAAAGAGGTTAACAGCGCTTCCAATGCTCTGAGATCCATGCAGGGTTTTCCTTTCTACGACAAACCCATGGTAGGTTAATCACACCGTGAATACCAGATCACCGAGAAGCTTTGCAGAGAAGAAAACACATGATATTGTGATGATGTAACAACTTCTGCAACATAGCCTCTGAAAGACATGGTGGTCTTTACTTATCTGTCTCTTCCTACACAGCGTATCCAGTATGCCAAGCAGGACTCCGACATCATAGCTAAAATGAAAGGGACTTATGTAGAGCGTGACCGTAAAAAAGAGAAGAAGAAGATTAAAGGAGCTGATGCAGCGGGATCTAAGAAGGGTGTGCCGGGAGCTGCTGCACCCATGGTCGCTGGGGTACCGGCTGCCATGCCTGTAAGTGCTGCAATGGGTGTCTTATTGGTAATTAGTTGGTAGAATTAATGTTAGAAACATCATCTTACAGCAAAAGTATGTATTTCCATGCAAAGGTGCAGTGTGCTTTGTAACCAAAAACATTTAACTAATATTGTAAGAGTGCAGGAGCAAGGGTAGAAGTGGCAAAACTGTTGACTCAAATCACAAGCTTACTCACCACAGTTGGTCTCTATTTAGGTGTCTAACAGTGTAAAAACGGACACCACATTTTCATGCAGCAGGCTATAAACAGTAGCATACAAGCTTACGACATTCGTGTGTGGACATCATTGATGGTGTTGGGAGGGGCAATTAGAGGAACTGGTTGGTGGGGGAAAATGTAATCACACCTACTGACAGGCTCACCACTGCTGTTCTTCACTCTGTAGGGAATGCCTCCGATGAGCCAGGCTCCTCGTATGATGCACATGCCAGGCCAGCCTCCTTATATGCCCCCTCCTGGCATGATGCCTCCTCCTGGGATGGCACCTGGTCAGATGCCACCTGGTGCCATACCTCCTGGCCAGATGATGCCCGGACAGATGCCTGGACAAATGCCCCAGCAGGTAATGCCTTCTGACAAAGCAAATAAAATTACAACATTTTTCTGGTGGTTCTATTCTGACCTCTCTTTATCCTCCACAGGTTGCAGAAAATCCTCCAAATCACATCCTTTTCCTCACCAACCTGCCAGAAGAGACAAACGAACTCATGCTGTCCATGCTCTTCAACCAGTCAGTAACGGCTCCTTTTCTGCTTTGCATCTTTGTATTTGTTGAATTGTTGAATGCTAAGCTTGACTGTGTTGTGTTGCATTCAGGTTCCCCGGGTTCAAAGAGGTGCGTCTGGTTCCTGGTCGCCACGACATCGCCTTTGTGGAGTTTGACAATGAAGTGCAGGCCGGCGCTGCACGAGACGCACTACAAGGCTTTAAGATCACACAAGCAAACGCTATGAAGATCTCATTCGCTAAGAAATAACACCTCAAGACCGTTTTTGTCTTATATGCACAAACGGGTCTTTTTTTAAATTTATGGCAGTGACCTGAACTAAAACACTTTTAGAAGTTGACATTTGCTGATCAGTACAGCAGGGGCGGTGTATTATTTTTATTTTTTTCCCTCCTTCAGGATTACATGTAAGTATACATTCTTTGCATCATGTTGCTGTGTGTTATCGTGCCACACTGACAGAACTCTGACATAAAATAATGATCAGGCAAATTTCATAGAGGAGTTCTGCATCCCTAATGATATGAATTTCAGAGGTTTCATAGCTGGTTTAGCTTTTTTTGGCTTGAGCATGAGCAACATGATGTATTTTGTATGTTTTTGTTTTTTAAAAACTGTTTTCCATAAAGCATTGCACCCAGAGTCTGGTCTGCCAGACACTATACCTGGAGCTTTTTTCTTTTTATAATTAAAACATTTCTTTGAGACTGCTCTGCCTCAATCTCATTCATCTTACAGTGGAAGTTTGTCTTAGGCCAATAGATGGTGCTATAAGCTTTAGATGGTGCTATAAGAGTCAAATAGTAAATTATGTTTTTTGAGCAACCCAGCTGTTAACGATTGCTGTGTTCCAGGCAACTTAGAAATTTCTGACCTCCAACTAGGAAAAACTACCATGGAACGCCACTTGAAGTCAGATTTACTACTTGTGAACTTGGAGGGGTGCTTTTTTATTTTATTTTTTTTTTATTTCTTGGGACCACTACTTATGCCTCTTCTGCGAAGTCATGAATGTTGCAGAAACTTCATAAATACTGAGCGTTTAAAAATAAACAATTTTCTGTGGAAGACTGGGTCTGATCTCACCTTTAGCACATCTTCAACCACAGTTTGGGGAAATTACTTGTTGTTCTTGGAACATAAAACGCTGATGATCAGAATTAAATATTAGTCACCAGTGGAGCTTGAAAGGAAATGTAGGCAGGGAGAGAAGGTCATTCATGTCAAGCAACAAAAGTCTGAGCTGGACTCGCCCTCAGGATGCTGATGTTACATGGGGACACACTTCAGACTGCAGAATGCCAAAATTCTCCACGAAATTAATACTTTGTAGAAAATTGGATGCATTGACTTCAGAGCATTTCAATTTTCCATCAGTCCAATATTTATCAGTCAGTACTCCAACTATTATTGTGTTGTTCAAAGTATTCTGAGCCTCAATACAAATCCTCATATCCTTCCTGCTTATGAAGAACACTGTGTGCCCCCAACAAGTCACTTTAATCTGTATTTGGCCTTTGCTCTGTTCAGGGTAATAAACCAAAGGCAAATATATTTTTATATCAGATTACATCATTTACTGGCTGCTCTTTGCCCTTAAGGCTCGGTGGAGAATTACCCTTAGAGTAATTCAGAAACCAGTACATTTTCATACGATTGTGCTGCAAATGCTGGATCTGAAAATTTTTTTATCTATTCATTTTTGATCTGTTCATTCGGCACTGAGGACACATGTAGTGCTGATGTGTGTAGAAACACCAATTATACAATATTAAACAATCAGTTTCCTTATTTATGAAATGCATATTTATTTGACACAGATCTATAGAACAAAAGGAAATAAGTGTTTTACACTGAATTTTTATGATGGCATTGTAACCATGTGGTAGAAGAAGTACTCAAATCCTTTACACAAGTAAAAATACCAATACTAAAAGTGCTGTTTTCAAAATAATCTACAAAGTAACTAGTAATTATAGCTGTCAGATAAATATAGTCAAGTAAAAGCTGTATTTTCCTCTGTAATGTAGTGGAAGTATAACGTTATAGCATAATGTTTTAATATGTTATATAATGTTTTGGCCTCCTTTTATAAGGCCTGTGTGAGTAGTTGATGTTTAAACTCATATCTAATTAATGCAAATGGGTCCAATATTTACAAGTCTCTCAAGTTTGCCAATTAGTATTGTTTGCAGCACTTCCTGGGATCCCCTGTCAGCCTTCACATAGGTTTGCAGAATAATTACACCCCAATAAGGACCACCACCTCCTCTCAAAGGCTGGATTCATTGGTGTAGGGCAGATTGATGTGTGAATTAGGCCTGAAAACCTTAATTTAGATTGCACTATCAAATGTGCCCAGGGCACACAGGGCCTCCCTGTTGTGGACTTAAACTGTGCCCTGAGTAATTGTCTCTAGGTCAGCTCAACAGTTTATGCAGCAATGCACATTCTTGTGTAGTTTCCCAAGCCTTTCCACACTCCCTTATTTTGCCTTGAGAAAGAGCTGACCTTAGCCACCAGGGCGCTGTGTGTGTGTGTGTGTGTGTGTGTGTCGCATGCTCCTGGCAACATGCCTGGTGCCTTCCCATTCACCAACACAGTCCTCTCAGTTGCAGGGACTGAAAGGCAACTTCTACAAATCTGGTGGGTTATGCGTGGGAGTTTGGTCAGTGTCACATCAGAGTGAGATCAAAAATCATCCCCAAGACTATGTCAGCTTCTGACGGTGCATATATGCAACCATGGGCTCTCTTCAACATTTGTGCCAGAGATGGCTGCTGTTTGTTCACATTTCCAGCAGGTGGGTCAGTCATACAGTGGGCCTACTCATGCTGTGTGGCTAAACTGTGTTCAA